GAAAATTCTGACCTCTAGATGGTCAACAACCTTGGTATCATGCTTTTACACAATTTGCGTAAAAGGGAGAGGCCATTTATTATGTCGGGCAGTTTCGGTCCGATTTTCACGAAATTTAAACTCAACCGTAATTATGTTGCAACGGTGATATTTGAGCGGTTTTACAATCAAATGAAAATTGTGACCTCTAGAGTGTCCAGAAGCTCAAAATATGATTTTTCGCACAATAAGAGGCCATTTTCCAGGAATATTGATAGGAACCGAGATCTTTGTATCATAAGGTCTGCCATTGAGTCAACTTGTGTGGTTTCGATTCCTAGGATGTACGTGACAAGGAGTGGGATCAACTGTCCAAACTCGTGTGTTTTCTCCGTGTCCTCTGGTTTCCTCCCACTGCTAAAGACCCCTACGCACAAGCGATTTATTGAAATAAAATTGAACCATATTATGTAGGTCCCGAATTTAACTGGTTTGTGTCGAGTGGACGTTAAACCTCCTCTCTCTCTCTCTCTCTCTCTTTTAAAAACTGTGAAAACTGTGACCTCTAGAGGATGTACAAGCTAAAAACGCGATTTTTCGTACACTAATAGTCCATGAAGTTACGTATAACGTTCCGATACGTGCCAAATTTAACACCATAAGATATCTTTGTGATATATATAAACATATATATTTCAAGTTTCATCAACTTAAAAAAAGCACCACCACGAACTCTATCCCAAACTTAATTAGTCAAAATGTGAACGAAAAGATAATTTCGCAAAGTCGTTCATTTCTTGCCTATACATAATTCAATCTCATCTAATTTCTATCTGACCGGTATTGCGTTCACAAGCTTTCGTGAATTTGAACAGAAAAGCCGCGACTTAAGGTCGAAATATACTGAATTTTGATAGGTTTCCTCCTGGCAGAGTTAAGAATAATAATGCAGTTTACACCAATTCGGTGACAACTAATCCATTGTATTCCTCCCTTTAATGGTGTTTAAACTGGTACGGGGATGAGGTCATAACGGTCATAAACCATTATTATAACGGCCAAAATTCACTTTAGTCAAACTTCGATCAAAATAAGTTTGTCAAAATGGCCAAGAAATTGCAAAACATTACGAAACACTAACTCTTATTAATTTGATAAAAATAGCAACTGACTTTTATTAACTTGATACAAATATGCACAAAAGTAGGTCCTTAAAGGGTGATTTGATGACACGAATTTATCTGTAGAACCTTTGCTTCGAATCGCTCACGAAACATTTTAATCGGAAGAAAACTACTCCAATCAGTTTTTATCACCCGTGTTTATCAGTGACTCTATATTGGAGAAAAATCCACCTCAGCTTGTATTTGTGGTTAGTTCGCTTTCTATCTATCTACCATAAATATCGATGATTTAGTAAACTTCTGGATTATCCTCTGTCAACTTCTTTTTCCGCCGTTTAACCGCATGGTCTACTGGACGTTTAATTCTCTCAATGTTCTCACAACCGTTAGCCATAAGATCAACATTATAAGAAGCTCCCTTTCGTCACTCAAACAAACAGGTATGAGTAAAACTGGCAGCCTGTCGTTTAAGGATACTCATACACCTTTGTCTTGTGCGCGCCACATGGGTGTTTTTCAGGGAATCCAGTATTTTTTCTAGTAAGATTGAGTGTCTCCATTTTCCATATATACCAAAATTGAAGTACTTTTATTGGAAATAACTTCCCGATAAATACATTTAAACCGATTCCATTTGATAAAAATAACAACTTTGAACATCGTTTCAGCTAATCAAGATTTAATTAATTTGCACGCTGTTTTTCTAAAGAAGGAAATGAAAACCAATTATTTAAGTGTGTGAATCAGTGAGGATAATCAATGTTCCGTAGCCTTCCGTTCCAGAATTAGACCTTCATCCCTTTTTCCGAAAACCTTGTGATGTTGGATATTCAGCGTTCCGTAACCTTCTGTTCCGGAGTTATGCCCCCTTTTACGAAAACCTTATCGATGTGATGGAGGCTATAATTTTATTTGAAGCACTGGGGTAGACCTATAGGCTATCGAGAGGACGAACCTTCTCGATATTCGGCGTACCGCGACCTTATTTCCATTCCTGGATTACGAATTTAAATGTCAAAAATAAAATGGGGTTAGCAAGGCTGGTGGGACATGGGGTTGGGCAATCTATTTCACAGAGGCAATGCGAAAGCCCTCTTCTAAATGTGTAAGATGACAGACTTTATAAGTTCACATGCATTCTACGTGACGTCACATCACACGGCGTCAATCATTTGCGTCGATAGCGCGTGCATTGTTTACATAAGTAAAGAAAAGAAATGGGAACGTCTTACTGTTAACATAAGACGTAGTAACGTAAACTAGTCCGGGCAGAATGGTGCCTTTTACTCATTCGCATACTATATTATGTATCTATTTACACTAAATAAATATTCCTTTTGTCCCCCGCCTTTCGAAGAAAGCAGGGGACTATTAAAATAGGTTCGCCTGTCTGTCTGTCTGCCCGCCTATCTGCCCGTCACACTTTATGGGACACAATAACTCTCCTTCTAATTGAGCTAGAATGTTCAAACTTGGTGTAGGTGTTTATTAGGTCAATGCCTCGATGGAGTTCGAAGATAAGCATTTTCTGCTTAGGATAAGCAGAGATGAGCAATTTAATTGGTTGATGCTTTGGGACACGATAACTTTAGTTCTAATTGGGTAAGACGCTGGAGGTCGGGTGTTCGATCCCTGCATCGGCCGGGAAAGTTCATCCAGATTTTCCGGCGTGGTCCCCACTTGTCAATGATGCAGGACGGAGGGCCTGACAAGGACAGCTGTCTAGTCGCTATGATGGGACGAAAACCCGAGGTCCCGTGTACACATTGGCATGTACGTAAAAGATCCATTGACAGTTGGAATTCGATATAAGAGTAGGCCGTAGTGCCGCTGTCCGGGCAAAACTTCCCTCATAGCACACTGTATGGCGTATGCCCGTCTTCATTAGCCCAGTTCGGAGCAGAACAGTAGGACGTTAAACCCCATTTCATTTCATTTTCTAATTAAGTGAGAGTGATGAAACATGGTGTATAGTTTCATTACTTCAATACCTTGACTAAGTTCGATAATGAGCATTTTCTGCTCAGGGTAAGTAGAGCGATAAGCAATTTGATTGGCCGAGACTTTTGAACACAATAGCTCTTTTTCTAATTGAGCTAGAATGTTCATTCTTGGTGTAGGTGTTTATTAGGCCAATGCCTTGATAGAGTTCGAAGATGGGCATTTTCTGCTTAGGGTAAGCAGAGATAAGAAATTTGATTGGTTGATGCTTTGGAACACGATAACTTTAGTTCAAATTAAGTGAGAGTGAGGAAACTTGGTGTATAGTTTTATCATATCAATACCTTGACTTAGTTCGATAATGAGCATTTTCTGCTCATGGTAAGCAGAGCATTAGGCGATTTGTCTGCTTACGGTAAGTAGAGATAAGCAATCTGATTGGTTGATGCTTTGGGGCACGATAACTTTGGTTATAATTAAGTGAGCATGATGAAACTCCGAGTATAGATTCATTATATCATTACCTTGACTAAGTTCGACGATGAGAATTTTCTGCTTAGGCTAAGGAGCAATAAGCAATTTGATTGTTCAAGACTTCGGAACATTATTACAACCCTGCTTTTAATTCAGGTAGAATGTTTAAAGGAGCTGAATCACTAATATTTGGGACCTAGAAATTGACCCAAATGGGTCGCAACGCATATAATAATGTAATCTGATTGTATACGAACTGATTTACATTCAATTGTTTCCGTTTTGACTCTTATTTCAAATCAGTTAGGTCTAGCGAAATACGGCATGAGTCTCAACCGAATAGAAATTTCTAGCGTCTGGTTATTCCAGTCTGTTGCGCATGCTCTCCAGACAAGTTATGGCGTCGCCCTATGACATGAGTTGTGGAATATGTCTAGCCTCGCTCTTTCTGGTCACTTGTTACAGATGACGATGAAACACACTATGATACACGATTCGTGTACCAATGGTAAAATATTTATTTTGTCTTAAATATTGGATATCAGAAGCCTACCTTTTCCCGGTAAGATAACAACATCAATGTTGATTTGAATTGACAAATAATTCGTGTTTTCAACGTGTAAGACATTGGATGATATTGAGTTAGAGACTTAGCTACCGGTACTTTAAACTTGATGTAGATGTTCATCATTAGGTGAATGTCTTGACTGAGTTCAATGATTAACATTTCAAGCTAAAGCTAAGCAGAGCTAAGCAATTTCATTGGTCGAGGCTTTGGGACAAGATAACTTTGATTCTATCTGATAGAAAGTGACGAAACTTAAGCCTAATCAGTTTGATTGCTTGATAATTTTGAAAAAAATAAATGTGCGATTCATTAATATGTGTCATCTATTTATTTTGGGATTTCGGCGGGGGGCATCAGCCCCACTGTTGGCTAGTTTTATCTAGACAGGCCCATAGACTACTCAAACACCTTCATATTATTATAATTAGGTATTTTTATAATAATAGGCTTTATACTTTAAAAAAAATTAAAAAAAATGATTAAGAATTTAATATGCAGAAGGAAAAAAGTTAATATTGTGAGCTAATTTAATTAACTCGCACCGACGTCATCCCTTTCAGGGAGGGGTCTACCGAATATTCACTGCTGAACACTTGCGGGCGGGGGGGGGGGGGGCTCATCCACCCATAATTAGATTTTTGATATTATTATCACGGTGATCCTATTTGAAGTTTCGAATTCTTGTCTTTTTTCTGAATATTCGGCCGTTTTTTTCCATATGGATAGGTCCACGGGGCACAATGGTATCACTGTATAATCAAATTTAATTAAAACATCTTCTCATTCCGCTAGCCTTCCCGTAAAACAAGAAAATGTTTCCTTGTAATGCCCAGTCTCTTTCCATGTTAAATTTAAGATTCGGCGGGAAACCGTGAGAGGTCATGTGTAGCCCCCGTGCGTTAGTATAAGCATTCAATATGGCGTCTGGATTAGACTTCAACCTCGAATGGGATTGACGTTTTTACGGTTTTATAGACAGTGTTCATGCCAAATTAATGATACGGGGAAGTTAATTAGAAATGAAAAGTGGCGAAACATATTCGAGAAATTTTATTTGGAAAATAAATGTCGTTTTGTGGCGTTTATTCAATAATTTGTGAGACTCATGTGTGGTAATACTAATATTGTTTTGAGTCGGAATCTCCTCGTACACACATGCATAAGATACCGACCGGCTGAAAGAAGTTCAGCTTAATTTTATAGTAGATTTGAAACACAACTCGACAACTATACAAAGACCAATCATGGCTGATACAAGACGGCGTGTAAAATTGTATATGTTGAATGAAGATCGACAATGGGATGATCGCGGAACAGGTCATGTGTCATCAGCTTACGTTGAAAGATTGAAAGGAATGGCTTTATTAGTTAGATCGGAGACGGACGGTGAGTTGATAGCCATGTCATAATCGGCAGATAAAGGCTAAAAAGTCGATAACAGTGTTTGGTTTTTCGTTTTTGAAAGGAGCAATTTTGTTCTACGAAAAATAGCATACCCGGTACACAAATTTGTAAATGAACACAGTATTATTTTTTGTTAATATTAATAGTGCTCTCGACCTGGCTTTATAGAATACTATGAATATGATTGGATTCACTGACACATTTTCTCTACTACTAGTACTATCTATTCTAATGATTATTTTTTTTTCTGTGTCGTAGTACTAGTAAGTTTGATGCCCTATTTCGAGCAAGTACTTCTGAAGATTGTTCAAAATCAAATGTTGATGGTTTATAAAGTCTAGTTAGTTCTTACAATAACTAACAGTTACAGCATTAATGTGTAGTACAGTCAATTGATTTTCATACATATTTTCCTTCACTAGAATAAACAGTGAGGTCATCAGAATTTATTCTATTTTTAGCTAGTCTACCAGAGATACATGTATAGCCTAGGCCTACTGCTGTACTGCCGACTTTGGAACAACTCCACAACTGGAACGGAAAATTGTTAGGAATTACTACAGAGTAGATTTTTTTTTTAGAAAAAAATGTCTGGTGGTGGTTGTTTAACACTTTTCTCCGAATCGAATCAATTTAAAAATCTCAAGAGTCAGCCATGTTCGCTGCAACAGATTCTAGAATCGAGTTGTTCTTACGTCATCGATGTACATGCAACTGACTGCCAAATTATCATTTTATTTTTACTGACAATGGATGTATCACATAATATTGTTTGAGTTGCCTATTCGACTTTTGTATCCAATAATAAATGTTAAACAAAAATAGCACATATATTAACATATTTTTTGTTTCATTTTTCAGGCTCCATATTACTGGAATCAAAAATTCATCCAGACACAGCTTATCAAAAACAACAGGTGATGAATCTGTTTAGTTTTAATTCATTTTGTATGGTCTGACACATTGGTGCATTTTTAAGTCTTCAACGGTTAAACTAAAAATAATGTTTAATTAAAATTGGCGTGAAAGATGACTGTCTGTATGTGCTCCCAGTGTATTTGACTAACACTATCATTACATAATTTCGCTTGTCCTCTAGTCTGGCCTGGAAATAACGGTTTTAGATGCACCTGACAAAATGTCAGACACTAATGAAAAAGTACCTGACATTTTCAACTTGGTGCCGAACATGTATTAATAATGTCAATAAAAAAGATAAATCAGTGCCAGGCATAATGACAGGCACCAGAGGTTTTGTGCCTGACAAAGTCTGAATCTGTACCTGACATTGTCTGTGACAGGTGCCTTATTTCCAGGCTTGTGTCTAGTACCGGTATTAATAGAGATCAAACATCATTGTTTATCAAATTCATTAACAATATATTCACTTGCCATCTGCAATAATAACATCCAAAAAGCACTCAGAAAACATACTATTTACAAAACATGATATGCACGCATTTATTAGTAAAGAAAAGCTTGGAGTAGCAGTGTATATCAATCTGATTAAAATACAGATCTATATTTCGTTTCGTTTTTATACTTACGATGGCCTACACTTACATGTACGTGAAGATCTGACCAATTGTTTTGAAGGGTCGCGTCAGAGGTCATACAGCTGCTTTAGACCCTATGACGTCAGATATTTGATTAACCAATCAGCATTTGCCATTGATGTTTCTAGTGGATTACCCACAGTTCCGTACAACTCGCGCCAAAAGCTCCCTGTAACAGACCGTTTCATTGGCTAATTCCTCACATTATCCAGAACAAGTCAATGATAACAACTCTTCCAGATCCTAGTGTAGTAAAGACAAGTAAAATGAAATTTTGAATTATAAAAAACGAAATAGGATCTGTATTTTATTCAGATTGAATGTATATAAGAAACCTCATCTCTCAACCCTCCGTTTTTCGAGATAAGAGATGGTGCTATAATATAGTTTCAAGTGGCAAACCCCCAATGCTAATCACATCAGACTTCATATTAGCAAAACTGACAAATTTTTCTTCAAAACAACGATTTATTTATAACATTTCTGCCATGTCCAACTACAATTAAAGTAGCTACGTAAGTCTCTAACTCAATATCATCCAAAGTCTTCAATATTGAAAACATGAATTATTTGTCAATTTAAATCAACATTGGTGTTTTGATCTTGCTGGGAAAAGATGGGCTTCTGATATCCAATATTTAAGACAAAATAAACATTTTACCATTCGTGAACCACAATGCGTTTCAGCGCCATTTGTAACAATGGACTCAAAGAAGAGGCTAGACATTCCACAAGTCATGTCAAACAGTGACGGCATATTCTTATCTGGAGAGCATGCACAATATATACTATCGGCGTAGACTGGAATAAACAGACGCTAGAGAATGCCATTCAATTGAGACTTCTAGCGTATTTCGGCAAATATAACTGCTTTGAAATTAGAGTAAAAACGGAAACGATTGAATTTAAATCAGTTTATATACTGTACATTCATATTACATTATTATATGCATTGCAACACATTTGTGTCCAAATGTCCAGGTCTAGGTCCAAATATTAGCGATTTAGCTCCTTTAGACAGAAAATCCTACCTGACACGGGTACAAATCCCCTCTTTTTAAATTGAAGCAATAATAGATTGCTTTCTCTGACCTTTTAAACTTATGTCTTTAAGTTAACGTCATAAAGGCAGGGTCTCGTGTACAATAGCCAATCAAAGTACTAACCCGATCCGAGTTGAGCAGGATTAAGACACCATAATTATGAATGCCCATATCAATTTTGATAAAAACAACGCTTGATTTACTTTATTGTCAATATTTGCTGATAAATGAAAGTTTCAGTAGACTGGGCTGTGTATATCTAATAAGTTCTAATAATAGTATAAAATTAACTTATTAAAAGGCATTGATAAAAAAACTAATGTTTACCATGTGAAACTAAAGGCACCCAATCGTACCTAAAAACAAGCACATCAGTATATCTCAACGTTTGTAGCTACAGTGTATATAACTATATATATAAGGATTCAATAGGATGGTTCCTGAACGTACAGATCGAGTGTAATGAGACCTACGTTTAGAGCTGAACTATTAAGAACCAAAATATTGTTTGTTTACAACAAAAGTAAATAACATTGTTGTTGAGGGCTACATAAGACATGCATTGTATTCGGCAGGGTTGCAGATCAATCTGATTAAAACACAGATCCTACTTCGTTTCGTTTTTATAGTTCAAAATTTCGTTTTACTTGTCGTTATTACACTAGGATCTGGAAGTGTTGTTATCATTGACGTGTTCTGGATGGTGTGAGGGATTAGCCAATGAAATGGTCTGTTATGGCGAGCTTTATGCGTGATTTGCACGGAACTGTGGGTAATCCACTAGTAACATCAATGCTGATTGGTTAATCAAATAAGGTCAAAAGCCACTCGTATAACCTCTGACACGACCCTCATGTAGTGTAGGCCATCGAAAGTATAAAAAACGAAATGAAATGAAGATCTGTATTTTAATCAGATTGGTTGCAGATGTCAAAGCTTAATTTATTAGAATTTGAAAAATAATATGTAAACTTATATTTCAAAATTAATTATAATATGGTTTAAGATTGATTTATGACTATAGCTTTCTCGGTTTGCATAGATTTACTGACCGTGGAAAGCAGTAAAATGAAGAAAACTAAATGTATACACTTAAATTTTGTTACAAAACTGTTGACTGTTGAATACAAAATGAATTCTATCATTGGTGTCTGCAGAACTAAATTTTAAATGTAGACAAATACATATACATGTATGCTCACTTCGCAAAATAACAGTATTAACACACAACGTAATAAATCAAACTTTATCTTTTTTTTTGACCTCATCAAAGGGGTCATTCTTTTTAACTTTGTTGAGTTGATATGGTACAGGATTTGTATGGTACAGGATTTGATAGTACTATACTTTTTGTAATTGTATGCATGTGCATGTACATATAGGTGTGTTTGAAGGGAATACATGTACATCTATAGATTATACATGTAGGTACATGCCATGATTTGATAAAGTTGTTTTTATTTGTTATTCTATGAGCATATGATATCATAAGCAAAAATATGCAAACTTTTTACATAATACGTAATAAAGAAACGAAGTATTGGATAATTACATGTAGGTCAAAGAAATTTATTACCGTACATGTACATTATGGTATAATATTAGTCATCGTAGGCTACAATGTATTGACTTGTTGATGAAATATTAATGAATTTTAATTATCTTTTTGTATATTGGTTCAAATTAAAGTTAAACCAAAAGCAATAATACTAGTGTTTACAGTTATCCAAATTTAAGCTACTGTATGTTTTGATTTATGGTTGAACAATTTTTGTTATTATAGGAAACGTTAATAGTATGGTCAGAATCTGACAACTATGATCTGGCGTTGAGCTTTCAAGAAAAAGCTGGATGTGATGAAATATGGGAGAAAATTTGTCAGGTATGATTTTCAATTTAGAGTTGCTGTTCCTCATTTGAGGGATTTTGACGCCTAAAACCCTACTACTTACATGTACCTTGTTCTCTGCATTTGCAATACAGGTACGTGTATAGTGATTTGTGAACAGAAGCTAGTATCTAGCCAAAAATTATACAAGGAATGCGTATCTCAATTTTTTATCCTTCTTAAATGGTCATGACATGGTTGTTTCACCAGATGAATGAGACAGTAGTGTGGGTTCACATCCACTTAATACAAACTAAATGTAGGTTATTTCACTACAGGGGTTATTTGCAGTGGGAGGAAAAGGGGCCCAGAGAAAATTCACAGGGTTAGACAGCTGATTCAGCTACATTGAATATGCAATGCTAGAGTCATTGCGACTCAGCTTACATGTACCTCACTGACATTATACACCCACCCCTTACACCAGCGATTTAAAAAAGACTCCTCATTTAATGGATTTAAATGGATTTCAGGTGCAAGGTAAAGATCCGTCTGTTGATATAACACAAGAAGTTGTAGATGAATCAGAAGATGAGAGATTTGATGATATGCCTGATGCTATGCCACCAATTGAATTACCTCCCTGTGAACTTAGTAAATTAGAAGAAATCTCAGAATTATTTAATAGTGTGCTTCCGTCACCCATACGGAGAGAAAAACTAGCTGTTTGCATAGAAAACGATGGCTATATTAAAAAATTAATTGACTTGTTTCATATGTGTGAAGATTTAGAGAATTTAGAAGGACTACATCATTTGTACGATATATTTAAGAGTATATTTTTACTAAATAAGAATGCACTGTTTGAAATTATGTTTAGTGACGACACACTGTTTGATATTGTTGGTTTATTGGAATATGATCCGACTTTACCACAGCCAGCAAAACATAGAGAATATTTAAAAACTAAAGCCAAGTTTAAGGAAGTTGTGCCAATATCAAATCCAGAATTACTGATCAAAATCCACCAAACTTATAGAGTTCAGTATATCCAAGATGTGATATTACCTACACCATCTGTGTTTGAAGAAAATATGCTTTCTTCTCTTAGTTCTTTCATCTTCTTTAACAAAGTGGAAATTGTCAGTATGATTCAGGTAGGTATATTTGTTAACATGTTTATAATCTGAAGTACAGGCCTCGAAATGTTTAAAAAAAGCTACCTGTCACTCTCAATTATCAAACTCAAAGACTATCAAACTCAAAGACTAATCACATCACACATATATCCATACATGTAGGTACACACGCACGTGGTTAGGTCTTTGACGTACATTGCTCTATATAAATATCGTAATATGAAACCTTTTTATTTCTTCGATATCGGATTGCCTAAAAGTTCTTGAAAGTCGGCGAATCTGCTTTGGCTCAGCGACTCGAAGATTCGTACATCCACGTGAATTCCACAAAGTATCATGGTACCACACTTCCGTACTAAATCGAATATTTCACCGTTGAGTTTTAGAAATCAGATTTTAAAATATCCGTAATCAGGGCTGGCCACGAATAAATTGATGGCGAGCAGATGACTGCTCACGCAAATTTAGGTTTGGGCGAGCAATAAAAATTGCTCACGCAAAATGTTGTTTGCGTGAGCACACATTTTGTAACATTGTTTCAATTTAAAATCATAAGAAAATTGCTATTCCTGGCACAAAGTTTGCAGTAAACATGTGTGACCATCGCTTTCTGTTTTTGACAGTCATACGTACTCTTCTTTATTAAAACCAATTTCCGTATGGATTTCTTCACCCCACGGAATAAATGTGGATAGGGCAATCAGGTTGCCTTTGGCCATTATTACGCTTAGATTGAAAATTATACGACTGCACAATGGAATAAAAACCGAAGTTCTGATAAAATAGGAAATACCGATAAATATTAGTTTGAAACGTGTTCATTTAGCGTGAATGCCAAATGCCGGATGTAAACATTCGATTATCACGTGTTTGTTACTGGTGTTCGTAGGAAAACCAGTCATGACGTTCAGGTCTAAAGTGTATTTTTAGTAACACAAGTTGCGAGTAACTTTATTAGCCAATCAAATTTCAGGAGGAAATGCCGCGTGCAGCTGGGTGAATCTCAGTTTGACAGACAAATTTATGACGTTATTGACATTGTTGGGTTAGTTTCGGCAATAAACTTGTCAATATTTTGATTATTTTTACAGGGTTTTCTTAAAATTTTGCGCGAGCAATGAACCGCTCGCGTAATTGTAGATTTACGCGAGCGCGAGCAGTTGCTCGCGTCTCGTGGCAAGCCCTGCGTAATAAATTGAATATCAAAACACAAATCGCACCAGTGCATGGCACCGTATTTACATTTACCGCGTGCGAAGGACAGATAACGCCACCTGGAATTCCCTTCTCACATATCCGGACTATATTTATGCTACAAATTATATTTATATAATATGAAATATTTTTCCAACCTGTTTTTTTGATTTTGAAAAATTGTCTTATAAATTATTTATAGCCTTTATTTATGGAAATTGTTTAAAACTTTTTAAATGATTAAATACACCAAGCAACGAGCCGTGTGCATTTCCATTTCAACCACTACTATATTTACTGTGGTGTCTTTACGCTAGAATTATTTCAGGTGACTTGGGGGTGCGTTTTAATTTATTTAGATATAATACTTCATAATGCTATAGACTAGTGTCAAGCAGATGAAAACAAGCGTAGATGGTGTGAAATTCATTGATATAAAATTGTCCACTTCCAAACTGTGTGAGTAACCGTAGCCTACGACAGAGCGAAATGTAAACAGTGCAAATGGCGGCGTTTCCGTGCTTAATTCTTGCATTTAGAAACAAATAATTAAATGTACGTGACGTGGACGTGAGTATTGTGGTCAATTTACTGAACATCAAGTAAAATTTAGTTTTATTTGCTACCTGTCAGACGAAAAAATCGCCAGGCGAACATTTCGAGCCATGGAAGTATCTAGTGTTTTGTATTGGGATATGCGACAGAAATCTCTGAATTTTCAGACCATTAGATTAATCAAAATGGCTGATAATAGGCCTATCATGATGTTGTGATTATCAACAAAAACAAAAACCATTAAAAATATTTTACAAAATCCAGTCAATATGTTTAGGTGTCAATTGACTGTGACCACATCTCTGTATCACAAAGCAGCCATTTGATAAAATAAGCCTTGGTGTAAAATTTCAATTATTTATACAAGTATAGGCTGCATACACTTCACATACATACATGTACATGTACTGCCACATAGAAGTTCAGTTAAAAAGTCTATTAATAACACAATATACAGTTCATTTGAAACATTTTCACACAAAATAAATTAAACTAAAAACTCAAAGACATTTAGTCATTTAGGTTAAATGAATTCTGAATTCATTTCTGACATGCATGTATTGAAATTTGTGTAAAATGTGGAATAGACAAGTACATTGTACATTGTAAACCTGAGACATGCTTAGAATCCTTAGAGCACCCTTTAGCACCCCAGTGTAATAATGATTTCTTGAATTATAGTTATAACTGGAGAGCTCCTTTTAGATCAACATTGTTTCGCACAGTAATTCACATTCGTAATTTATAAGATGGTGATTATTATGTCTGGCCAAAAACAAATCGGTTTAGTGGCCATTGTAACACAAACAGAAATTGCATGGTTTTTTGATACACAAGATGATTAAAATACAGATCTATATTTCGTTTTTTTTATACTTTTGATGGCCTACACTACATGAAGATCTGACTAGTTGTACTGGGAGGTCGCATCAGGTGTCATACAAGCAGCCTTTGTCCTATGACGTCAGACATTGATTAATCAATCAGCATTGATGTTTCTAGGAGTTTACCCACAGGTTTGTGGAGAGTACACCAAGAACTTGCCGTAACAGACCATTTCATTGGCTAATTCCTTACATAAACTAGAACGCCTGTTATATAATAATATATAACAACTCTTCAGATCCTAGTGTTGTGAAGACAAGTAAAATGAAATTTTGAACTATAAAAGACGAAATGAAATAGGTCTGTGTTTTATCAGATTGCTTGGTACATGTACATGTAGGCCTACATGTGGTGCAAATATCTGTTATTTCACCCAGAATCAGCTTAAAACCCTGTGAAAATAAAATAAATTCAGAATTGCCTTGTTAGCTTTCTAACTGTTTATTAATATTCTGTTATAAGCATCGGCTTCAGATACCCATAGGCGATAGGTGCAAGCTTACATACATTAAGTCCAAAATGTATTTTACAGATAGATATTAGATCACTGAGGCTTACTTTTTATACGCCCACATTGAAATGTGGTCGTATATTGTCGTCGCCCCCGTCCGGCGGTTCGGCGTCCACAATTGCTTGTGGACGCTCTAGAGGCTAAAGTTAATATCTGATTGACTTTAAATTTATACACAATGTTTAAGGTCTTGAGACGAAGAAGCCTATTGTTTTTCAGCGATTTCCGATAATTACTGCCAGAGTTAAGGTCATAAGATGATGAAGCCTATTGGTTTTCAGCGATTTCTGATAATTACTGCCAGAGTTATGGCCCTTGATCACTCTGAAAAATCTTGTGGATGCTCTAGAAGCGAAAGTTAATATTCGATTGACTTGAAATTTATACACAGTGTTTAAGGTCATGAGACGAAGAAACCTATTGATTTTCAGCGATTTCCAATATTTGCTGCCAGAGTTATGGCCATTGATCACTTTGAAAAATCTTGTGGATGCTCTAGAGGCCAAATTTGACTTTCAATTTATAGACAGTGTTTAAGGTCATGAGACGAAGAAGCCTATTGATTTTCAACGATTTCCGATAATTACTGCCAGAGTTATGACCCTTAGGCCAAAATTAAAAGATTGTCTGTTTGCCCAAACGCGACCGCCCCAAAAAAAAGCCGCCAAGTCAAATTCTTTTATTGCCGTTTTTGAAGATTTTTTTTTTTTTTTTTAACAGCATTATTTTTACGCTTGACAATGACACCCAAACGCGAAATAATCGGTCGGGAGATTGAACAGCCACTGTCATGTCTATACATAGTAACACCAAACTCGACACGTGATTTTGTAAAATCTCGTTATTTATCGCGATAGTTGTTGTTAAGGAACGGTATGTGTCATCATGGCAGACAATTACTTTACACTGTCGTCTTCGGTAGTGATAAAAACCGAAAATAAAGTAAAACCAATCGTTTCGAACAAGTTGCAGCGATTTAACAACAGTAAGACATGGAGGGAGGGACGTCTTTGATGATGTCACTGTTGATGAAATAAGACACGAAGACAACGGACAAAATGGTTGTGACCGTTTCAACTGTTCTCGTTAGGCCTAATAAAAAAGTTAGAGTTTAAATATTGTTTTATTTTTGCACTTAGTTCTCAAAGTCTGGTCCTCCCAAAAAAAAAAAGAATTTGCCTACCTACCTACCCATACCTAATCATCATGAGTCGGGTTTGGGCAAACTGAAATATTTTTAACCCTGGCCTTGATCACTTCAAAAAATCTTGTGGATGCTCTAGAGGCTAAAGTTAATATCCGATTGAGTTTAAATTTATACACAGTGTTTGAGGTCATGAGACGAAGATTCCTATTGATTTTCAACGATTTCTGATAATTACTGCCAAAGTTATGGCCCTTAAGTTATCATCCGATTGACTTCAGATTGATACACAGAGTTTAAGATCTTGAGACGAACAAGTATATTGATTTTCAATGAATTTTTATGACTTGAACAGTTAAATCCATGATATTAAAAGCTTTGCATACAAAACGTTAGCATGGGCAGAATTTTATAAAAACCAAACAAATTCTAATAGTTTTCTGATAATTACTTCGTGAGTTGTTGCTCTTAATCAGATTTTAGTGTATTATAAATGTTTCATTACCGAAAAAAGTAAAAATATGCGACAACCCTTGTTGACTGCCCGGACGATTTAGTTGCTGTAGGCGTATGTTTCGTTGCCTGGCAACCTATCTTTGTCTCTGAATGTGAAACAATACATGTACATGTATGTCTACACATTAAAGGATACAAAGAAAATCATCTCCAAAAGAATTGTGCAACGGAGACGTCAATTTAGGACATTAATTTGTTACTTCTAGTCATGGTCTTATGTAATCACTGGAAATACTGAGAGTTCAAAGAATGATTGTCAGCTAACTTTCTGTTGAAACTAATCGCATGAAAATTACTATTTGAATTCAAAGTTGTCTAATGATGTTTGGTCAACTGTTAATAAAACAAATATGGTCATAAATATTGAAATAAACCATGGGAGGATTCATTAAAATATATTTTTTCCTCTTATTTCATTCATAATCTTTAAAGATACATTATGTAAGATTTAGATAAAGAGCTAGCCATTCTTAGTATAATACATGTACACTGTAGATAATGTAAAAAATAATTTGAAAATTTCATTCCAATTACTTTATTGCAAGCGAAATAATTGCAATAATTTCAACCACCGTACTTGTTGTTTGAAGCTAAGTCTCGCTCCTCCGTTTTTAGATTACATGTAAATCAAAATATGGCTGAACCATTCAAATCAATCGAGAGTTGATTTTGACCTGGATAAGTTAATTAATGTCTGATTAATAATTTAGAAAACATTTCAGGCCTAAAGCAAGACCTGCAATAGGCAGATTTAGCTTTTGCATAATGTACTAGTTCATGGCAGTAAGTCTTCTTTACGTAGCTATTCTGACTCATTTGCCTCGCTGGAAGCAATAAGCACATTTAAACATACATTATACAAAAGCTAAATCTGCCTATTGCAAGACTATTTTTTAGGCTTCAGATGTTATAAAAGTTATTAATTAAGACCTTAGACATTTATTTACACGGATGGCTTGAATACAGTTTGGATTTAAACAGTCGTCCATTTAAAATTAAATCAATAAATGGCGGATCAAGCTAACGTTTACCGTTACTCGCTGATGTCACTACCGAAAACTGGTGATGAAAGGCCTGCCAAGCAAGGCTACCATAGCCATTGAGCATCGATAATATGTGAGTGGAGTTATCGTCGGTCAATCAAACGATCGCTAATTCTCATAGACGGTGCAGACACAATTGATGCATATTTCTAGTCCAAACTTCCAATTCCGTTCACTGTTCAGAACAAAGTAATTTGATTGAAATTTTCAACATTTTTTTTTCTTACCATCTAATTTTGAATTATATAGCAAGAATGGCCAACTCTTTATAAAACTCTTAACTAATGTATCTTTAATAGTACCTGATAAACTGTTTACATTGTCAATAAAATATTGGCTTTCGTAGAGATACAGTTTGCTCCAAAAGATTGAAATGACTGTGTCGTCAACCTCTAGTCTTCGTTAGACTAAGTACATGTACCATCAATAAAATAAGGACGCTTACAAATAGGGTTGGTCACACAACGATTTTACTTGCTTCTATTGAGTATTTTGAGAGGCTCTTAAGTCACGCAGATGTAGAGGGCAAAAATGCAAAATTTTGGAATGTCGGCATATTTTTACATTACTCAGAATTGATCCACTGCCACCTCTGGTTGTGATACATTGTACATGTATTGTTGTGACCACTGTGTATGTAAGATACGCAATACAAAAAACAAATCTTTTGAAATCAGTCAATGCAATTTTTTTTTATATAGCAGTAATCTATATCGGTGCTATAATTATTTTTGATTTATACACCAAGTTTTGCTGGATTGGTAATAGGTATAAAGGAGCAGTTACATGTACATGTACGCTATTTAATAAATATTTTTAGCACAACATAAAAATAACCATCTTATAAATTACGAAAGCATGCTGTCATGTTGTTAAAATGGAAATTTAAGGTTTAGCCCTTCCAAGCATTCCTATAATCCCCCCCCTCCCCCGATGACAGAAACTTACTTTATTCATATACATGTATGAACTTAACACATACAGATGTAAATCATTTACATGTAGTAGGTATGCTGATATTGGAAGTTCATTGTTTACAATAAATTTGTATACATGTACATGTCTTCATTCACTGTAAGTATAAGTTAATAGAATAAATAGTATGACTGTTCTTTAAAGTTTGATGTCAGTCTGTCTTGTACATATATTTACATATTCAAATTGAAGATAATTCATTCAATAAATACATTGGGGTGTCGGTCACCTAAGTACATTTATATAGTTAATTACATAGAATCAATTATGAAATTAATGTAGTTTTTGTGTGACATACAAAACATACTTTGATAGAGCTTGAATATATGTACATGTACATGTACCTGGAAGTAAATAATAATTCATTTAATCATTATTGGTGCACAGAAAGTGCAATAGTCTTATTTGTACCTACAGTACATAGTAATATATTTTATGAATAATTGTACTATATATTGTCCCAAAAATCTGGATGTAGCCAGTAGTTATTGATTTAACCTACAGTTACATTGTACCATTACAAACTTGCATTAGCCAACAAAATATGTATATTTTGCTACATTAAGAGTGATATTAAGGTTACTGAGAAATGTATGTTCATAGGAATTAAATGGTCTGAATAGTCTGATGTACTGTTAAACAGGAACTTATAATGCATCATGAAGTTCATGTGACCCGAAACAGATCAACATTAATGCATATTGAAATTAATATGACAGCATACATGTATTACTTTGTCTAAAATAAATGACTTCTCTATACTTATTTACAATATATGTACCTGTACATGTGTATTATACATGTAGCCAACACTATCTGGTAAATGATACCTACAGTACATATGTGCACAGTGCATGTACATAAACAAAATCTGTTGCAAATTGTGTATGACCATGTTTATAGAAGTCCTTTAAGGGTTCATTCCTGGTGTTGGCCGAAAAAAGTTCCTCTAGGTTTTCCAGCATAGTTTATCCTTGTCAGTTGTATATGAAGGATGGCCTTGCAAGGAACAGTGTCTAGAACTAAAAGTCGTTCGAATGGACCTACAAACTACGGTCCTGTTCACATGTTGGTTTGCCCGTACATGTTAAAGACTCATTGGCAGACGGAAACTGCTGTTCTGACAAAAGTTCCTTATTATAGTGCACTGCATGGCATATGCCCGTCTTCATTAGACCGGTTATTGCATTAAGATGGATATTAAACTCCATTTCAATTTACAATTCTTTAGCATGGACATGGTTGCTGGTGGAGGATGTATTATTAGGGAGTTTACATGAGTGTACACGTACATGTATGAAGAAAAATATTTATCCTAACTTTGTACAGTAACTGGTTCGAAAAGACAAACCTTAGACTGCGGTTATATTTCTCAATTAATAATGTTACTTGTGTTTATATTTCAGGAGGATGAGAAGTTTTTGACCACGTTATTTGCTCAATTGACAGATGACGAGACAGATGACAATCATCGACGTGATCTCATACTCTTCTTAAAAGAATTCTGCACATTTTCACAAACATTACAATTACCTAGCAGAGAATCATTTTTCAAGGTAGGAATTTGATACATCTGTTTATATGGTTTTGAATACTCAGTAAAAATACTAAATCCATAGAGCTACATGACTCTAAAAAGAAAAATTTTTGGTATTCATTGCAATAATTTGTATATTCATAATGTAAGTTAATTGTATGTTCACAGATCTTCAATTTGTTGTGATTTAGCTGTACTGGTTAATAAATTTTACATCTTGTGTGATATTTTAACAATTGGGCTACATCTACAGATTATTTTATTTTCTATTTCAGACATTATCAAACCTTGGTGTGTTATCAGCAATAGAAATTATATTGGTAAGAATTTTGTTATTTAAAAAAAAATAATTTAACAAGCTATAAGTATTTATAAATTATTTTATGTCTTCGGTTTGATGATTTTATCCCAGTTTTGTAATCAACTAGAACTTGTGCTGCCCACCTTTTAGGTTTTCCCTGGGTTACTCCCACTTCTAAAACCATGTGTGCTGTGAATTATTGAAATAAAGATCTATACATAATTATGTTAGTGTCCAGTGGATGTTCAACCCAATTTCTGTCCCTCTTTCTCTCAGGATAATTGAAGAAGTACATGTACATTGTAGGGTGTACGCTTGCAATGTGAACTTGTACAGAATTTGAGCTAAAAACAGTGACATTATTTGGTGGAATAAACGATTTTATAAAATGTTTGTTTTATTTATATAGGGTTTAGATGATGTCAAAATGAAGTCAGCTGCTATTGACATATTTTCATATATTGTGGAATTTAGTCCGTCCATGGTTAGAGAGTTTATTTTACATGAAACACAGAATCAAGATGATGTAAGTTTTGTTGCATTATTGGACCATATCTCCTACAACTTTTTATATACCTACATTTTGTAGTTCACCCTGTCTATCTGTTCAGATTTCTTGTAAAAGCTGTACACATCAAAAGTTTTTTAAAGGTGTTTTTCAAGCTTGCTGGAATTGTTTAGCTAGTCATAAGAAAACACTTTAAAACATTTCAAAGCTGCACACTGATTTTGACAGAGTTTTTGCACTTTTCAAAAGTCAAAGCCTTGCATCGGTTTACACAATCAGAAATACCAGCAAATCAGTTTTGATATGGTGTTAATGTGTCTTTGAAGGCAACATCCAGTAATGTCCTTTCTGTTTCCCTTTAAAAGCTGCTGATGGTCATGTTTTTTGTTGCCAGTCAACACCATTAATTTGTTAAAATATGTTGTAAAATGCAGCCATAAAATATAGTCTAGTCTGTAACATTGAGTTGTTATAATAATCTTGACTACACAGCAAGGATTTTTTGTCGCCAACAGCCCATTTCTAATTGCCCATTATACTGATTTGTGTAGGAAAATTCACTTTTACTTTCATACCTGTAGTGCTTTCCAAAACTTTGAACAATCTGTGTGCATTTAAAAATAGATTTATGATTTACAATAGATAATCACTGAATTAATTCCTTGCTATTCTGAATGGTATGAACATTTGGATTATATGTTTTCTATATTTCCAGGATGATCTATTGATTAACCTAGTCATCGAACAGATGATAAATGATACTGATCCTGGTGAGTATCTATATATAGATATTACTATTCTTATTATAATTAAAAATTCATGTTGATCAGGACCTATCCATCCACAGGTCCCACCCTAAAGTGATCAGTCCGACCTTCCTTCAAAAATCTTGTCTCCTCTGTGTCTTGACTACTGCTTGGAGTTAAATAGTGATACTTTGCATTTCCACCACTACCTAGGTGTGTCACGACTCGGGTTGTAACCTTTAGCTCGAATGTCAAGGTAATACTCAGTTTATCTTGGAAGGCCATAGGTCCATGATGATACTTTGCATGACTTCCCTACCTAGAAGGTGTGTCGCTTACATTTCCAGCTGCTTTGGAATTATGAGAAAACTTATGAACACCCCTACCAATCAACGAGAATATAACGGAGATGTAGAACTTGAAAGGGAAAATGTATTGTTCAAATATTTTTCCTCTGTTAGCCTAACATCTTACAGAAGTTTGTGTTTATGGCAATAACAGTTTAACCAATCTGAGACGCTCAAATCATACTTATGATAGAGCAGATACCCAGAGAAGAAGTAGTTAGATCTATATAGACTAGACCAATAATTATTATTATTATTATTATTGTTCGATTTATATATATCCAAGTTCAAGTGAAATAAAGGGCTTTCTTTTTATATGACACATGGATTGATTGGAATTCTTTTTTTTTAAAACCTATGGAACGTAATGTAGAACTTGGTGGAGCCATGCAGTTGATGGGTATTTTAAGGTTGTTATTAGATCCAGAAAACATGCTTGCCACCGCTAATGTAAGTACCTTAAATATTTTCTTTCTTTAGGCCTAGAAATTTACTCAACTCTTAGAATATTATTCTAATTAAGATTTAATAGACTTAGGCATCTGAATCCTGGAGGATTCCAGCAAAAATGTCCCATGTTACATATTATATTTTGCTAATATTCAGTAAATAAACTCTGTCGTCTTTATGTATAAATATCTTTAGATACAGAAGATTTAGATAGATTACTACCAGGAAAATCCTTGTGGATTCTTTCAAAAATTGGTGAATTTTTATGCCTGTTCTTAGGCCGCGGTTAGTTTCTCATGACCTGAGTTTGTGAAATACACATGCTACATGAGGTAATTATTAGTTATTGAGATGGAATTTAATTTTTTTTTAGTTTAATGCTGTTTCTATTTCAACAATAACCAATGTCGTAACCAGTATACGCGATTTATTCACATTTAATAAATATTTATAGATCATAATAGGTCTAAATTATTAGTGATATGGTTCTAAGTTAACCGTTGGTTAATTCATTCAGTCTTGGCATTTCATTTCTTCATCTTTGACAGATTATGAAATGACCTGTTCCAACCAGGATGATGATTTGTTCTAACATAAATAATTAAAAGCATACTCTTGGATTTTTAAATTCAAAATAAGTTAGATTATTTAACATGCCAGTCCAAAGAATTTTTTGCCACACACACAAGTGTGCGTTTCTCTAGCTGTAAGGGAAGATAGTACCAATAACCCGTATGTTGTCTTCAACTTTAAACCCATCGGCACATGGCATCATGATGATATAAATACTTTTATTATTTTGTCTATCTTCATCAAACTGTTAACATTTATTAGTATCTTCGTGTCTATTTGAGACTGTTTATATTAGTGCATCTACGGTTAGTACTTTTTGTTATTTGAATAACCGTTGTTATTAACCGGTTAGTAACTGTTTAACCGTTTGGTATCAATTTTCAACATAAAACAGACCTTGTCAGCAGGTGCAAATCCAGACTTGCGCGCACGCTGTACTTGTCTAAAAGGCATTAATCATGCAAAAATTTCGGGAAACTTTAATAAAAATTTAAACTATCTAAGGCCATAGTTATTTAATTACGTGGTTAACTTGGTTCATTTGAACCCTTTTTATATCCGCCCACATGGAAATGTGGACGTATATTGCCGTCGCCCCTGTCTGTCTGTCCATCATATTTCTTGTGAATGCTCTTACGCCAAAAGTTATCATCCAATTGTTTTACAATTAATATTTGTTGTTTACATTAGTGAGATGAAGAAGCATATTTAATTTCAATAATTTCTGTTTATTACGTTTGGAGTTATGACCCTTGTTTCACTTTGTTGGAATATTTAAATTAGGGAAACAAAGTAGCTTATTGAATTTCATCAATTTCCGTTTATTACTTCTAGAGTTATGGTCCTTCACACTTTATTGAACCTTGTGAACGCTCTAACATCAAATGTTATCTGCCGATCTGTATGAAATTTACATGCATTATTGTCCCCCGCTTTCGAAGAAAGCAGGGGACTATTAAAATGGGTTCGTCTGTCCGTCCGTCTGTCCGTCACACTTTTTGGGACACAATAACTCTCTTTCTAATTAACCTAGAATGTTCAAACTTGGTGTAGGTGTTTATTAGGTCAATGCCTTGATGGAGTTCGAAGATGAGCATTTTCGGCTTGGGGTAAGCAGAGATAAGCAATTTGATTGGTTGATGCTTTGGGACACGATAACTTTAGTTCTAATTAAGTGAGAGAGATGAAACTTGGTGTATAGTTTCATTACATCAATACCTTGACTAAGTTCGATAATGAGCATTTTCTGCTCAGGGTAAGCAGAGCGATAAGCAATTTGAATGGCCGAGACTTTTGAACACAATAACCCTCCTTCTAATTGAGCTAGAATGTTCAAACTTAGTGTAGGTGTTTATTAGGCCAATGCCTTGATGGAGTGTGAAGATAAGCATTTTCTGCTTAGGGTAAGCAATTTGATTGGTTGATGCTTTGGGACACGATAACTTTAGTTCCAATTAAGTGAGAGTGATGAAACTTGGTGTATAGTTTCATTACATCAATATCTTGACTAAGTTCGATGATGAGAATTTTCTGCTTAGGCTAACGAGCAATAAGCATTTTGATTGGTCAAGACTTTGGAACATAACAACTCTTCTTCTAATTGAGATAGAATGTTTAAACTTGATGTAGATGTTCGTCTTGACTGAGTTCAATGATTAACATATCGAGCTAAAGCTAAGCAGAGATAAGCAATTTCCTGCTTTGGGACAAAATAACTTTGATTCTATCTGATAGAGAGTGATGAAACTTAGTGTATAGTTGATAATCAGTTTGATTGCTTGATACTTTGGAAAAAAATAGATGTGTGATTAATTAATATGTGTCATCTATTTATTTGGGGATTTCGGCGGGGGACATCAGCCTCACTGTTGGCTTGTTTAAATTATTAAAGAGAAGAATCCTATTGAATTTCAGCAATTTCCGTTTATTACTTCTAGAGTTATGGCCCTTGTTTCACTTTGTTCAACCTTGTTAATGCTGGATTGATGAAATATGTATATGTATGAAATTTATATGCATCATTTAAATTTGTGAAACAGAGGTCTATTGAATTTCAGCAATTTCCGTCAATAATTTCTAGAGTTATGGCGGTTGTGAGACTTTTGAATGTTTGAAGACAAAAGTGATCATCTGATCTGTATGAAATTTATATGCATTATTAAGATTAGTAAAACGAAAAAGCCTGTCAAATTTCAACAATTTCTGTAGATTACTTTCAGAGTTGAGACCCTTGTTTCAGTAAAGGCCTACAAAGGAATAGATATGCAACAACCCTCGTCGACCGCTGTGGGCGTATGTTTCGTTGCCTGGCAACCTATCTTTTTTTAATTCACTATCTATGATAATATACAAGACAATGTTCTGTTTCCTGTTGTACGTGACATATGGCGATAATATAACGATTACACAATGTTGCTAAGAATAGCTTAAAGTAAATTGGAGGGCGTCTATTGATTGGACAATAAAGAAATAATTTTGGGTTTGCAAGTAGAATTATTATGATTGGTTAATTAATTTAACTAAAAACCAAAGTAGAATTCTTTCGAGAAATTACGAGAGATGAAACGGTTAGAATGTTGTAACAAATCTATATGTCATTTTCTAGCCTTTATGATTATATTTTGAATGGTAGTTACATTTTTAAATAAATATTAAACAAGGTAGAATATAATTAGAAATGCCGAGAAGTATTTAAATTGGATTAACAATAACAAAAGTCTGAATAAGGTCCGTTGACTTTGCTATTAATGGTGTTATTTTTTAGCAGTCGACATAATAGGACAACAGTTATATTCTATGACTTTCAAACATCAAATACAAAGGGAAAACAGACAACTTTTGTTATAATGAGGAATATAGTGGGACACGACTCTATGTAATGGTGGACATCTCCGAATAACCGTACTGTTCAATTCAAACTGTTTAACCGTCCAATTCTAACCCTTTAGGTTATCCGACTAGCTGTATTAGCACTAGTTTACATAGTGTCATTGTTAATAAAATACCATGAAGCAGTATCAATCAGTCTGAACCTTATGAACAAGGCTGTCTCATGGTGGAAATTTCGGTAACTTTGTTCACAAAGTGTTAGTCACGTAAATAAAATAATTTAGCAGGAATTAAGACATTTATATCTTTCTGTGAATTTTATTACAAATGACAATTGCCTTATAGATTATGCATGTGGTCCTCGGTGAATGTTGTAGCTACCATTCCTTGGTTTGAATGATGGCTGTGATACCACTTTATCACTTCCTGTTTTATGGATGGACTCCGGATTTGTTTTTTTATTACATTCTAGCTACGCTGTTTATCACCTACGGTGCCATGCTTATCGATAAATAATGGATTTTAATGTGTCAATTCAGTGTTCATATTTAAAGGCAAAGATTTATAGTTATACAAAGTTTACAGGACAAATTTTTGACCTCACTAAACCTCACTAAATTTGACCAAATAATTATGGAAGTGCATAATTATTACAGATGAAAATGGACATGCAGGCGGGTCATGAGAAAGAAAAACAATTAATTAACCGCAGCCTTATGATTTTGTAATGTCCGTCAATAATGTTAAGCTTATTTTCTATAAACTTAAAAGTTACTTGGCATTCAAATGCAGCAGCATTGTTTTAGGCTATCTTTTTTCTTCACATTTCAAGTTGTGCAAAATATAGAATATTTCAATGTTCACTTGTAAGTGAAAATTATGCAACCTTTGTTTAGAAACAATTGTCATTCAAGTTGTATCTTTTCTTGTTTTCGTTCATGTATTTATTTATTTTTATCAAGAAAGTTAACATTATTTCATTGCAGAAGACAGAAAAAACTGAATTTTTAAGTTTTTTCTATAAACACAGTATGCATGTTCTGACTGCACCGTTATTTGCTAACACAGTTGATGATGTGCCAAGTAAAGGTAGGTTATATTTGATTTGGCTCTTGATAACATAACAAAAATCTTTACTTCAACAACAAGGATAAATTAATACCTTTATTTATCATTAATTTAGGTCAATCCTTTGCACTGTACTTATTCATGTTTTTTTTTTTTTTTTTTTTACAAGTCCACATTTTCATATTTTGTTTGCGGACACTCTACAGGTCACATATATTGTCGTCGCCCCTGTCTGTCCGTCCATTCACATTTTATTTCTGAACACTCTTCAGGTCACAAATTTTATCCGATTTTAACAAAACTTGAAATATAGGTGTATCTCCCAAAGATCTCGATTCCTTTTGAAAGTGGCATGTATCGGACTGTAACATCATGGATTATGGCCCCAGATTGTATGAAAAATCACATTTGTAGCTTATGGACACTGTAGAGGTCACAATTTTTATCTGGTTTCGATGAAACTTGAATTGTATGTTTATAACCCAGAGATCTTGGTTCCTGTCGATATTTGCCCATATAGGATTGTAACTAACTGGATTATGGCCCCTGATTGTAGGAAAAATCTTGTTTTTAGCTTGTGGAAGCTCTAGAGGTCACAATTTTTATCTGATTTTAAAAAAAAAACGTTTACATGTATCACCGTTGACATGTTTATAACCCAAAGATCTTGGTTTCTGTCGATATTCCTGGAATATGGCCTCTCATTGTACAAAAAATCACATTTTGAGCTTCTGGACTCTCTAGAGGTCACAATTTTCATTTGATTGTAAAAACTGTTCAAATATCACCATTACATCATAATTACGGTTGAGTTTAAATTTCGTGAAAATCGGATCAAAACTGCATGACAAAATGGTTGCATCTTGTATGCAAATAGTGTAAAAGTATATAATACCATGCTTGTGGACTATCTAGAGTAGAAGTCACAATTTTTATCTGATATTGATAAAACTTAAAATATATCATTATTATATCCCAAATATCTCAGTCCATTTCGATATTCGCACATTTCAGACCATTACTTTCTGGATTATGGCCAATGATTGTATGAAAAATCGCTTTTTTTTTTTAGCTTGCTCTCTATTCATCTCTTGCAAAATGTGGGAGTATCTTGCCTGGCAACCGCTGGTTATCTGATTTTGACAAAACTTGAAATATAGGTTTATATCTCAAAGATCTCGGTTCCTTTCGATATTGGCTTGTATCGGACTGTAACTTCATGGTTTATGGCCCCAAATTGTACAAAAATCACATCGAAACCCCGCCAGTTGACTCAATGACAGACCTTATGATACAGCGCGCACATGCTAACCATTCGGCCATCCAACCCCCCAATACCATATAGGAGAAAATTGGTACACTTTTCAGCTAGGTTGACCCCCTGGGCTCCTGGTCTAGTAGCGATAAGCAGTTTGATTCGTCAAGACTTCGGAACATAACTCTGCTTTTAACCGAGGTAGAATGTTTAATTGGTCAATGCTTTGGGACAAGGTAATTTTGATTCTAACTGATTGAGATTGATGAAACTTAGTGCATAGTTTCCCTACCTGGTACATCAAAACCTTGAATGAGTTTGATCGTGAACAGTTTATGATTAGACTAAGTATAGATAATCAGTTTGATAATAAATTAAAGATACATTATGTAAGATTTAGATAAAGAGCTAGCCATTCTTGCTATAATAGTTCGAAAATAGATGATGTAAAATAAATAATTTGCAAATTCCATTCAAATTATTCTATTGCGAGCGAATATATTAGCCTTGGAAGGTTTGACAAGACGTGTGCAATAATTTCAACCAACGTACTGGTTTTTCGAAGCTAAGTCTCGCTTTTCCAGTTTTTAGCTTAAATCAAAATATGGCTGAACTGCTCTAATCTATTTAATATCGGAGAAATCTGATGCCATCAAGAGTTGATTATGGCCTGGATAAGTTAATTAATGTCTAATTAATAATTTAGAAAACATTTCAGGCCTAAAGAAAGACCTGCAGGCAGATTTATCCCTTGCATAATGTATGTTTCATATGTGTCATCTATTTATTTTTGGATTTCGGTGGGGGATATAGCCTCACTATTGGCTTGTTTAGCTTGTTCTCTTGCAAAATGTGGGCATATCTTGCATGGCAGACATTGATGTCATTTTTATTTTTCTGTTTTCAGATGATTACCAGACAGCTCAGCTGTTGAGTTTAATTTTAGAATTGTTATCATTTTGTGTTGAGCATCATACCTACCATATAAAGAATTATATTATCAGTAAAGATTTACTACGCAGGGTTCTTGTCTTGCTCAAGTCTAGACACTCGTTTGTAGCTTTGTGTAAGTATTTTTAAATAGTTTTTATATGCCCACATGGACCTTGTGAATGCTCTTACGCCAAAAGTTATCATCCGATCTTTGTGAAATTTATATGCATTATTTAAATTAGAGAAACAATGAAACATATTAAACTTTCAGCACTTTCCGTTTATTATGTCTAGAGTTATGGCCCTTTTTTCACTTTATTGAACCTTGTGAACACTCAAACATCAAAAGTTATCTGCCGATCTGTATGAAATTTACATGCATCATTTAAATTATTGAAGAGAAGAATCCTATTGAATTTCAGCAATTTCCATTTTTTACTTCTAGAGTTATTGCCCTTGTTTCACTTTGATCAACCTTCTTAATGCTCGATTGATGAAAGTTATCATCCGATATGTATGAAATTTATATGCATCATTTAAATTTGTGAAACAGAGGTCTATTGAATTTCAGCAATTTCCGTCAATAATTTTTAGAGTTATGGTGGTTGTGAACCTTGTGAATGTTTGAATGACAAAAGTGATCATCTGATCTGTATGAAATTTATATGCATTATTAAGATTAGTAAAACGAAAAAGCCTGTCAAATTTCAACAATTTCTGTAGATTACTTTCAGAGTTGAGACCCTTGTTTCAGTTTGTAGAACCTTGTGAACCCTCAAACGGCAAAAATTATAATCTGATCTGTATGGAACTGTCTTGTAAAGGCCCCCAATTACCTACAAAGGAATAAATATGCAACAACCCTTGTCGACGGCTCGGACGATTTAGCGGCTGTGGGCGTATGTTTCATTGCCTAGCAACCTATCTTTATATTTTCGGTACCTTTTCGATCAATACATTTAGTAGGCACCTCGGTGTTGGTAAAACATGGACATCAAAACACCTACGTACTATAATTTCTTTAATATTAAGCATGACACTTCTTTAAGTGACATTTAGTAATTGAACAGTAACACACTAAACACTATTTATGGAGAACAATTACTGGTTTATTAACATGCAATGTTTCCACGATGATACTCTCATCTTTATCAAGCAAATGAATCTAAATTAAAATGATGCTCTGGTCCTTGTAAAGTCAACCCATTTAATCAAGATTTTTCTCATTGAATTTGATTATTTTGAGGAAAACAAAAAAGAGTTGGGTCAAACATGGACATTCGATCAGCCCTTGTATTAACTTGATTCAAGTGGGGAAGGAGATAGAACTAACAAGAAAGTGATATTTACCACCTGGAGATGAAAAAAAAAAACCCCAACACAATTAGCATTCTTCTTCATTTGAAATGTCTTGAAATTGAAGATAAATTTGTAAAAATAGGTGTCAGTCAAACATTGGACAGGTGTTAGTCGAACACTGGACAAGTGTTAGTCAAACGAGGGGCACAGGACTGGTAGGTTAAACACATGACACATGTTGGTCGAACACTGGATTAAATAACTCCACTCGATAGTAGTCATTGATATGATCAATAGATATATTTTGATTACTGTTTGGAGGATCCATTGATATGATCAAAAGATATATTTAGAGTTTAATTTTTTGAAGCGCCACTGCGAAGACACTGATTCGTAATGGTTATCACTGAATAATATATTCCCAAAATAAAATGCTTTAGCAACACACTGACAAGACAGTGTAGAGTAACTAAAAGTATTTATTCCAGGACGCATTTTGGGCAGCAGCTCTTTATCAACTTTGTAAAATTTCCTTGTTGTGCATCACAGTTTTTCAAACAAAATATTAAATAAAACTAATGTAAATTCCTTGAATGACATTTAGAAGTAGACGTAGAGAGGTATAATATTTATAATAACACAACTTGATGGATCTACTACATCTTAGTTTATTACATGCATCATGCAATACTCTTACCACAGGTATCTTTATCAAGCAATGATCAATAATGTAACAACCATAAGACTTGATAACAACTACCACTTTCCTTATTATTCATCTGTAATACATGTAGATATTAGAGATAGTGAAGTCACACACAAAAGAAAGTAATTGTTATTATTATTGATCATTGCTTGATGAGATACCTGTAAGACCATTGAAACGTTGCATGTAATAAATTAAGAAGTAGTAAAACCATAAAGTTGTGGGGGCATTCCATGACAAGTGTCCACAAAATTTGGGCGATTCTGACATGACCATCACAGATTTTAATGATTTTTGGTGTGCAAGTTAACCATGACGAAAGAACGTGATGTGCAAAACTTTAGCGCTTTTAGCTTTTTCTGCTGACCTTCAAACTTTGAAAATCCATAACTTCGCCCCTAGTAATCCTACTTACATGAAATTGGTATCAAATTGTTCAGAAAACAGATCTTTCTAATGACCGAAAGGATGAACTCGACCTAATAAAATCCAGGCAGATCGTGTTTGACCTTGACCTTTGAACCCACGCCCCCAAAAAGGGGCATATTCGATTTTCACCAATTTTTCGTGTGAACATTACCCCACCTATGATTAACGAACACACAAACAAAAAAGGGGGGAATCTCCGTGGGAACAGATTTTAGGAGCCGGTCAAATTGGGTGCTACAGTTATTCAAGTGCACACGACCTTATCATAGACTGCAGGGAAACACCCATGGAGTGTATACAGGACAAAAATGTCAGGGTTCCCCTTATCGACACGCGTGACGTCAAAGGTTGCACGCGGAGATTTAGCGCTTTATGTACATGTTGATGAACTTTATGAAGAGTTAGACGTACAACACTTTCTGAGATAAAATTCACGGAAAAAGACGCGGGCAGTGGATAATTCAAGAATTTAATTAGGATTCGATATATGTAATAAAAAGTCAGCGATTAAAGACAATATTGTCTTGTGTATGCAATGCATTCTCCTCAGACTTCGCACACGTAAGTCACGTGACACAAACATGACCTCTTTTGATCGATTTTTTATAGCAAGGGTATTCATTGACAATTACAATGTTTTGAGAATGATTTGAAGCAAATTAATTAGTTTGAATATGTTTTTAGACCAAATATATCTTCAAATCACCCAGTTTGTACATGGGAATGTATTTAAATGATTAATTATACCATAAATATTTGAAAGCGTACCTTTGGATTTTCAAATACAAAATGAGTTTGACTATTTAAGATGTCAGCTATATTTCCAAAGAATTTACTGCACGTGTTCCTATAACTATAGCCATATGCTGTAGGTAGTACCAATGACCCGTATGTATGTCGTAAACTTTGACCCCCCATCCGACATCAAACTATTCTGTTTCCTTTTGAGACTTTGTTTATAGAGTGCCACGGTTAATAAATACTGTTTGTCAATCAGTCACTACCTATGAGTGAGGTTATCTCATGCCACATGCTTGGAAGAATGATTACAAATGACAAATGCGATATGAAGTATATTGCATGTGGTCTTTAGTGACCGAAAACAATGTGGTAGCTACCATTCATGGTTTTTGAAGGTCAGATATGATATAAAAACGAAAATCCATTGGTAATTTTTGGAACAGATTCACCTCTGCAACCGAACCATGACCAGTTAATTGAGTAGCCGTTTTCATACATCAGGGATCTTAATTGGTTGATTATAGTCGGCTTCAGCTGATTGATAAAAGAATTATTAAAATATAATATACTATTCAAAAAAAGTAGGGGATATTTGATTTTTAAGTGTTATTAAAGTCACCTAATGAAACTGACGAAGAAACAAATGACAAAATGAAATGAAGTTCACATTCATCGATTTATTCCAAATGATCGTTAGACTAAGTAAGGCACAGACTGACCATTATAAGGGTAAAATGATACCCGGGGTCAAACAGCAAAGTTACCTGTTGCAACGCAGCAGCAAGTTCTTGGACATTGGCAGGACGTTGTTGACGTTGACGTAACCTCTGTCCAAGCATGTCCCAGACATGCTCGATGGTGGAGAGGTCGGGACTCAGTGCTGGCCAAGGTAATGTGGTGATGTTCTGTTGTTGGAGGTAACCTGTAACGATCCTGGCCCTGTGACATCTTGCGTTGTCATCCTGGAAGATGAAACGGCGGCCATGATGTCGAGCGAACGGCACAACATGGACTGCCAAGATGTTGTCCCGGTAGTACTGGCCTGTAACACGCCCAGCAACAACATGTAAAGCCGTTCTTCCAGCAACAGTGATGCCTCCCCACACCATAACAGAACCACCCCCAAATCGATCATATCTGATGACGTAAACGTCTTGGAAGCGCTCGTTTCGACGACGCCACACCCTCCTACGTCTGTCCAAAAAATCAACAGTGAACCTTGACTCATCTGAAAACATCACATTGCTCCAGCGTCGATTATCCCAGTGTTGAAGATCCCTACACCAACGACGTCTTGCCTGAATGTGATGATCTCTCAAACAAGGGATCACGCGAGGACGTCGCGCGCGAAGGTGACCCCTATGCAGTCGATTCCGAATCGTCTGGCCACTCACTCTCACACCAGTGTCTGTTTGAAGACGAGCGCTGATCTGATTTGTTGTGATGACACGATTTCTCAAGGCCAAGGTACGGATAAATCGATCCTGGGCTTGAGTTGTCGCCCTTGGTCGACCTGAGCGTGGTCTGTCCTGTACAGATTGTGTATCACGTTATCTGGACCATAGCCTGCTTATGACAGACTGAGAAACATTCATCGTCCGCGCCACAACCGTCTGTGTTGTGCCGATCTGTAGCATGCCAAGGGCACGTAACCTTTCATTTTGGGTAAGCCGACGCATATCAAAATTTGTTTTCTGGTCACTAAAACAATTAAACTGATGTTTCCACCCTGGAATTCAATGCCACAATGACTGTAACATTCAAAGTCAGAGTCGTGCAAATCTTTTGTTTGACCCCCATGATGATCCCAAGCATCACCTGCATTCCATGCGGTAGCTATTGGTGCGTTTGGGCGTCACATGTAACTGGAAATGTTTCTTCTGTTAGGTTCTATAGTGACTTTTTTCGTAGTCATTTGCATATTTTAGTATTATGCCCCCAAAATCAAATATCCCCTACTTTTTTTGAATAGTATATATAGGGATTTAGTGAAGTGAAACAAATTTTTCTAATGTTTAAATGGGGACACTGGGATTAAAGTCATAAACAGTTAACCTCAAAATATAAAATTGAATATTAAAAAAATATAAATTAGTCAAGTTATTTCTTTAAAAAATACATTCGCTGCAAGTGGAAATGAATAGCACCATTTAAATCTGGATAAGATACGAAAATTACGCAATCATTTTATATAACCAATTGGTTACGCAATGGTCATCTGGCGTAACCAAAGAAATTGGTTACGCAGAGCATAAGCCTGCAACCATTTTTCTGGTTATGCCAAAATTTGAAATTTTGTGGCCTGCATTGACTATTATTATTATACCAACTGGACACTTTTTTGGCTGTGTCCAGTTGGCTGTCGATCTACCTTTAAATAAAGTTTGGGAATGTGTTCTTACAATTTCAGCATATTTTCTTTGGGCAAAGTCTGATCACGATTCATGTTATCTTACATGATTCTTTTTAACCTCTAGATTAATGTATTATTTTTCAGGTGCCTTACGATTTATGCGAAGGATAATTGGTTTGAAGGAGGACTTTTACAATAGATATATATTAAAAGGCAATTTATTTAAACCAATTGTTGAAGCATTTAAAGCTAATGGAGATAGATATAACTTATTTAACTCAGCCATGATAGAATTATTCGAATTTGTTAAAGTGGTAAGTAAACATTGCTCCTAATTTAACATTCTGGCGAGTTAAATTTGATATTTAGCACACTAGGACAATCACAAAATTAAATTGCATTCCATTGCAAAGTGAACACAAGTTTCTTGCATCATCGGTTATCAAAGCCCTGACAAATAGTTTTGTGCAAATTTTTGTATCTCAAGTTTTGAGTACGGTAATTGGTTCATATTAGGTCAACTAATCACAACCAATGTTTTAATAAACATGCTCTTTATAAAGAAATGTTGTAGTAGTAAAGGATAAGTGAAGTAAACCACCGAAATGTTAAATATCCACAAATTGTGAAATAGCAAAGGAATACAAGCAAAAGGCTTCTCTAATTGAAAATGATCCATCTGTAGTGTTAATGTTTGATTTGTTTGCAGGAAGATGTGAAGTCATTATGTGGTCACATTGTTGAGAACTATATCAACGAACTGGAATCTGTGAAATATGTCCAGACATTTGAAGCATTAAAGAAAAGATATGAACAACAACAAGATCGATTAAAGGATCGTTTAAATATAGATAGGTACATATATTTTACATACTCTTGAAATGCTTGATGATTTTTTATTAAACCTATGCGTAAAAAAATCCCTTTGCGGTTGGAATTTAATATAAGAGTAGGCCATAATGCCGCTGCCTGTGCAAAATTTTCCTCATAGCACACTGTATGATGTATGCCCGTCTTCATTATCCCAGTCGGAACAGAACAGTAGGACATTAAACCCCATTTCATTTTTTATTAAAATAAATTATGTGGGAGAACTAGTCTCTATAAGTTTTTTAAAACCCCATTTCATTTCTCCATAAGTTTAGGTTTTAATTTCCAGCTAGGCTCTGATCACACCACCATGCTTTCCATGTTCTTCTACACAGATGAGATTCAATGTGTTGACCAAAAACATAGATTGAGATTCTTAAGGCAGGACACTACCTAAGAATTTTACATTGATAACAGAAACTTGCCATTTAGTTTAATATTAGTATATGATGTCCCAAATCAGATTTGATAATTTGAGCGCAAAATATTTATTTGTTGTCATGGAAATGGTGGCCATATTGGATTTTTTTATATATTCACGGTGGCTATGTTAGGAAATCAAAATCTTCAACAATTTTATTGAAACAAACTATTTGTGATTTGGAATAACATATATAGGCATTAAAGAGTGCAATAAGGCATAAATTTTACTATTTGAATGTTAATAAAGAACATTATGCATCCCACATAAAACAAGTGGGTGTGGCCGAACACACCACTAAAACGATTTTGTACAATAAAATGTCCAAATGTATAACAAACACTTTGAAAATCACCTTATTGCAAACAGTAGCTATAGCACTAATCGTATTCCAAAGATGACACCATTATCTCTCATAAATTTTGAGAATTTAATTTTCTAAGACCTGATATGGGTGAAAAATTGAGTACGGAAAAAAGCAAGTTAAAAGTTAAAAATTTGATTTACCTATACAAATGACTAAATATTTAACACTATATAATATAAAGGCTGGACACGACTTGAAAAATCAACAAATTTTAACTATTTTGGGCAATTTTAGCTGATATCAAAATTTGACAGATCAATCTATACAGAGTGTTTTATAAGGTAGTGTCCTGCCTTAATGAAACAACTCCCTGAATACAGTTCATTACACAATATCTTCAGATTAAAAGATCAAGAGAGAGTTGCTAATCAGATGCAAATTTAGGTCAAATAGAATGTTGACATACAGCACTGTAGATCATGCATGAAGGTTTACTGACTGTATCCTTGTCACATTTTCTGATCTTCTGCTTCAAATATGTTACTCAGACTGGCGCTATGATTTTAAAACAATCTTGTTTCTGATTACACCTATAAGCCAATTCTATGTGCTATACATGTAGTCCAAAAAAAACCTAAAAACAATAATTAATGTTTAAAAAAAGCCTTAAATAGTTCTGAGAAAAAGACCTAAATATTTGAGCTACATGTTCCTCATTTTATACGCCGACATGGAAATCTGGACATATATTGCCTTCGCCCCGTCCATCCGTCCGTCGTCCACAATTTCTGGTGAATGCTCTTACACCAAAATTTATCATCCGATTGTTTTAAAATTGATATATGTTGTTTACATAGTGATATAAATCCTATTTAATTTCAATAATTTCTGTTTATTATGTCTAGAGTTTAATCTTTAAGTGGCATTTAGTGATTGGGGTACACAATAACAGAACACAATTTTTATGGGAAACCAGTGATTGTTTCCCATAAAAATTGTGTTCTGTTATTATGTCTAGAGTTATTGGCCCTTGTTTCACTTTGTTGTCCCTTGTGAACGTTCTAACGCCAAAAGTGATCATCTGATCTTTATGAAATTTATGCATTATTTTAAATAGTGAAACGAAGAAGCCTATTGAATTTCAGCAATTTCTGTTTATTACATGTACGTCTAGAGTTATGGCCCTTGTTTCATTTTATTGCACCTTGTGAACGCTCTAACGCCAGAAGTTATCATTCCATCTTTGTGAAATTTATATGCATTATTTAGATTAGTGAAACGAAGCAGCTTATTGAATACACTGTGTATAAATTTAAAGTCAATCGGATATTAACTTTAGCCTCTAGAGCGTCCACAAGCAATTGTGGATGCCGGACAGACGGGGGCGACAAAAATATACGACCACATTTCATTTTCAATGTGGGCGTATAAAAACTGAGGTCCCATGTACATATTGGCTTACATGTTGTAAAAGACAACCCTTTACAGTTGGCATTCAGTTACTGGCCGGGCAAAATTTCCCTCATAGCACACTGTATGACATTCTGAGGTTTACTCTCCACTTAAACCTACTTGAATTATACATCAGAACAACTCGCCTGTGCCGTGTCTCCTGTTCTGATGATTCAAGTATGGTTAAATGAACGTTAAATCCTCTGAAAATTAGAAACAGAAAGTCTTTATCTTCATATTAGATTTGATAGTATAGTTAAAAAGAATGATCCTATGAAAAACAGGCCTTTCTCTGATTTCAGTCAAAATGCGTTAGTACGTAATAACAATAGATTTAGAAGAGATGTACGTACATTAGAGGAAGAGGAAGAAATGTGGTTTGATCAAGATGAAGAAGTTCAGGATGCTGAAACTACCTCCACAGTACCAGATATTCTCAAAAATAAACTTGACTCGGATTTTGATCATTTAAATAAACTATTAGAGAGTAAAAAAGGTGAGTGTACTAACTTTTATTATCTGGTGCTGAGCAAAGTTAAGGGGAAGGATGTATCAGTTTAAGCAATAGAAATCCCTTGCAAACTACCATATTGTGAAAGATAAATGTGAAATAGGAATATCTTATCTGTGGTGGACGGTGATTTACTAAAATTGCCATTGAAATTTAGAGCAGAGTTTTGAGCAGGGTCCAGATTGGATAAATAACTGTGGTCTTCGATTTTTATTTCCTCGTTGGTCCGACTTATTGTTAGTCATAACTTTTATTGTATCTTTTTTTCAGTTAAAGAAGCAGCAGAAGTTAAAGATTCACCACCAAAACTGCTCACAAAATCCTCAATTAACATTAACATAAAAACTAATAGTCCGGTGAACAGTCCTATACACTCGCCGGGTAGTCCCACCTCTCCAGGAAGCCCAGAGAGTCCAAAAAGTCCTGGAACTACTACACCAAATTCTACCAGTCCTGGAAATTGTATTCTTCCTACCCCTACCCCTCAAACTTCACCCAATAATTCTCCAATGGTTGACAAAACAAATGCGGTAACCAAAAAGGTAAGTTTCATATGGGCCAGCTTGCTTCATTTTACAGACCATATTCCTGTTTGATTAGATCTGATAATTTGCCCTGTCAGGTGTAACTTTTTCTACAATGAAAAATTTAGGCCTGTAGGATTATGCCTGTTGAAAAAAGGATTTGTCTGGTCTAGGAGTTGGGTGAGCATTTTCTGCTTAGGGTAAGCAGAGGTAAGCAATTTGATTGGTCAATGCTTAAGGCAGAATAACTTTGTTTATGATGAGAGTGATGAAACTTGGTGTATAGTTTCATTACATCAATAATTTGATGAAGTTGGGTGATGAGCATTTTCTACTTAGGCTAAGTAGAGTCTTCAATTTGACCAAGACTTCAGAACACAATAACTTTGCTTCTAATTGGCTGAGTTCGGTGATCAGCATTTTCCACTAAGACCAAGCAGAGATAAACACTTTGACTGGTTGAGACTATCTAACACAATAACTTTGATTCTAAGTTTAATCATAATCATTTTCTGCTGAGGTTAAGTATAAGCAGTTTGATTGCTTGATGTGTCCGCTATTTATATCGGGATTGAGTCGGTGTATCTCTCGATGCTTTCTAATGCAGGTGTATACCTTTGTGTTTAATATTTTCCTAGTCAATATTGTGTGTTGTTTTTGTTACAGCCGGGTCTTGTTGGATTGGTAGATTATCCGGATGAAGATTCAGATGAAGAAGAGGAAACCGATCCTATTGCTCCTTCAGCTAAACGTGCACGTATTGGAACGTAGTAGCTAGCCTTACTAACAAGGCTAACTTTCGTACAGAAACACTACTTACAATACAGTCAGTGTTTTAATAATCATACCTGTTATATCCTATCACTGAAGACTTATTGACGCATTAAAACGTGTCAGTGTTTAAAATGAAATCTAGGATATAGGACAGCACGACAGATCCCGTCTCAGACATGCCAGACACTGTCATCCGAAATCATTCCAGCATCTAAACTTAAACAAATTGGTCAACGGCTAAATGAGATGGACCAATAAAATGATACTCGCTTGCCTGCTTGTCGTGTTGTTTTGACAGTATTGACTATTTATTATATAAAGAGGGTTTGTGGATCAGACTTATGTTAAAAACAGCTATGATAATTGAATTATAAAAACTACAATGTTATCAGAAGATTATGCCTTGTTCAGTGTGAATAAATTATCCTCTGTAGATACTGTAAATTAGAAAGATTTTTTTTTTGTTTTGAGTGGAAGGATTGTATGTGCTGTATATTTTTGAATAAACAAAACGTGAATGGATTTAAAACGGAATTGCCCGATTAAGCTTGCAATATGTTGAAACAATTCTTTTAACAAGTTATTAAGTGTTAGTCATATAGATTGATCTTTATTTCTAGAAATGTCTGTTACTGATAAAATAATTATTTATAATTTATCATCGAAAAAAAAATCATCCAAAAGATTGATTTGAAAAATATGTATATGGAGTTTGGTTTCTCTTTTATGGAAAAAGATGAATCACCATTGGTATGTCTTTATTAAGTGCTATATCATTCTTTCATGGAATATATTTTCTATAAAATAGAAAGTTCATCCAGCATTATTCATGTCAAGAAATATTGGACCTCTTTAGTAAATTGTTCTGTTTACTTTTAAGAAATGTTTCCTTATTTTTCACTTGTTAAAATCTCAAAATTTGATCAATTTAGGTTTATTATTTTTTCAATAGTAACATATTTCTAAATGTAGATTTTTGTCTGTTGAATTCTGAAATATATTGAACATTAAATATGTTCTATTTTACTGACATGTAAGTAATGGATAACTATGTATATCATGTTAATTTACATCTAAGTTTCTTCTCTTAATATTAGGTTACCTCATCTTGACATAGTTAAAGGTAAACAACCACTGATGCCCTTTCATACAGGATTCCATGACATAAAAAATGTTATTTAAGAAAAATAAACCTTTCTTAAAACCACACCAAATAAATGGTTTTAAAATTGGACTTGTGAGTGAACTATTCCATAGAAAAATATACCTCACGAAAATGTGGTCACAATCACCCTAATTTGAAATAAGGAACATTTTATCCTCCTTCATAGCCATATCTTCCTTTTTGAACCATCTTGCTGTAAAAGCCTTGTCACTGCGACGTGTTCAATTTATGTTTATGGTCCAACCAGTGGTTGTTATCTTTGTTGTGTTTAGATGACATTCCCATATTTCTCTTACATAACTTTCATTCCAGTCTATATTAAAGTGCTACCAATTACATATGCTGTATGTAAACTATGTAGAAAAATGAAACAATCTGAAAAGTTTTGTGTTATGCCGGTGATGTTAGAAAAGAAAAATTAAGGAATAGTAATGGACAAAAGGCACAAAAAAATTCAAAGTGTATCATTAGAATAATAATACTACAAGTGTTTTTAAAAAACATATATTTTTACATTTATTAATTTCTTTAGAAAGTGAATATTGTGTGTAAAAAAAAAAACTAGGGTAAAAATTTGAGTTATCTCTGGATTCGGTGGATATTGTCTGCAGATCATGAACACCTGTATGTGAGATCTTGAATGAGAAATTATACAGAGGAGAGAAAAGGCAGCTTCATATTTGTTTTTAAAAAAAAAAATAGAACACGCGACACAAAGCTTCTGTATATACTTCATCCAAACATGTAAAAGAGTGATTACCTTGCTGTATAAAAATTGAAAAGAGAAAAAATCAATTAAAAAATAGAAAATATTATATCTGTTAATAATAAACTATTGAATGATTGAGAAAATAAAGAATATATCTATAAAAATATATTATATTATTTTAAGAAAAAAATCCCAGGTGACTCGGGCTTCTGGTTTTTGCTTGAAAGAATGGGGACACTTTTAGATGTCTGAATTTTTATCATGTAATATATTATTGTTTAATAAATAAACGCCATACATGTGTGGCTTGATAAATACATTTCATTTTAAAGTGGCTAACCTCATTGATTGAGGTCAAAAGTAAAGTGTTGAATGGATTGATCTGGCGTCAGTGTTTAAAGTTTTGACATGATAGTCTCGATAGTCAAGTACTATTGCCTATTGCTACAATAATAAACAATGCCTCAATTATCCATTTTAATGTTCTAATATAATCAATATGACGACCATCTGATGGTCTAGAGAGTTGATTAAGGGCTTATCATGTGCATAATCGAAATTAATAGTTTATATAACATCTGAAGCCAAAAAACGACCTGCAATAGGTAGATTTAGTCTTGCAAAATGCATCTATAATGATGGGACAAAATAAATTGGATTAAATTTTCATTTCGAAATATTAATGGGACGTCTGTTTACTAAGTTTCTGGTTCAAACTGTAGACAGTGAAACACAAAATCAGCTAGATCTCACTATTGGCTATATACATGCATGTGGATCTAAAGTTTTAAATGTAAATTTTTCCGGCATGGTTTCCCCTTGTCTGTGATGCAGGACGGAGGGCCGGACAAGGGCAGATGTCTAGTGGTTTAGATGGGAGGAAAAAACCGAGGTCCCATGTACACTTTGACATGCACGTAAAAGATCACTTGGTAGTTGGAATATGCCTGTCTTCATTTATAGTCAGAGCAGAACAGTAGGACGTTAAAACACAATTTCATTTCATTCATTTAAATGTAAACAGTCAACCACTCTACATAGTAAATCAAACTGTATTAAATCAACACTTATATTTGTACCCTAAATAGAAGAGGTCTATTCATTTTAATAATAAAGTGAAATTTTGCATTTAAATGTGTGGCATCCCTATTCATGAGGAGCAATCTTTCAATCTAATGCAAAAGACTATTTTTCAGTTGGTGATGCTGATGATGTTTTAGCTACTTTGGGGTAGCAGTTTTTATACGCCCAAGTTTTTATGCCGACATATTGTGGGTTTCATTGGGTTCGCTTCTGAGAGTTGAACTACATGTACACCGAGATTTTATTAAGAGGCCACTCCTGTTAAGCGGTCAGTTGTGAAAATTCCCTTGGGTGGCTGCTTAATGCAGATTCTACTGTAGTTTATTTTTGAAGGTTGGCATTTTGTGGGCATCTGACATGGGTACCCCACGACTGATAAATTATTCATAGCCTTGGGCAGTGATGTTAAGACATTTTGCATTAAGTTTTTAATTGGTACCCTTCTGACTCTGTTCTAGCTTACTTTTGGTGGGCGCCTGGCTGGGGTACTCCACCAATGAAAATGTCTGGCATTGTCCATTGATACCTCGGTTGATGCTGAAATGGGTTTGTTGATCTAGCATACTTTTGGAAATCGTTTTTTTTTTATGCACAAATTAGAGCCTTCCAGGGAGTCAGTATACCCCACCACTAAAAATTGTCTGGCGGTACCCATTCTTGCTAAATTGGACAAGTGGTTGACATGCAAGATATGCCAACATTTTGCAGGAGATGGACCGAGAACTGGGAAAATCGTTAGGACTCATTGCCCCAATGCTTTAAATCGAATTTGCAAATAATATGTAAAACGGTAGCCTCTATCGCGTTCAGAAGGTTTTCGGTAAAGGGGGTTAATGGATGGCTGCTGAATAAGGATAGCATTCGTCCTAAGAACTCAATGCTTCACACCAAATTTGAAAATGATCTGTTAAAATTGTATCCTCTATCGCATTCACATTTTCAGCTAAGGGAACATAATTATCAATAGGATTCTTCCTCTCATAACCCCAATGCTTCAAACAATATTGAATAAAAATAGAGCCTCTATCGGGTTGAGATTTTCGTAAATGGGAGCATAACTCCAGAATGAAGGGTCAGATGCTTAAGCAGTGGACACATTAGCCGAATCAATCGGTGCCGAATTTTATTCGGCCGAATGGGTGGACACACTAGCCGAATGCATCACATTTCACGTCACATGATTAAACATGGCGGCGTCTATGTCTTCAATCTATCACGTGACTTCTCGATATGAGTGGTGATTGGCTAATGAATTCTATATTCGGCCGAATGCTTCGGCGAAGCGGACACACCAGGCGAATATAATTCGCCGAATATATCAAACCTGTTTGATTCGGGCGAACCACGTGAATTCTCGATATGAGTGGTGATTGGCTAATGAATTCTATATTCGGCCGAATGCTTCGGCGAAGCGTACACACCAGGCGAATATAATTCGCCCGAATATATCAAACCTGTTTGATTTGGGCAAATCATTCGGCCGAATGACAGTGGACACACTAGGCGAATTTCGAGGCCGATTGATTCGGCCGAATCATTCGGCTAGTGTGTCCACCGCTTTACCAAAATCAAACTCATCTGTGATCTTTGATCCATAACACATATTGGACAAAAATGAGCTCCAGAGGGTCCACACACTTTGTACATATTTCACATTGTAAAAGGCAGGGGCCATAAACCAAAATCGAACTCATCCAAGATCTTTTGATCTGGGGGTTCCACAAACTTTGTACATCCCATTTTGTGTAAAAGGCAGTGGGCATTTAACTCTAGAACAGAAGGTCCGATCTTTTCTGTAAGTTTTATGTATATTGCCCTCTGCAGTCGTGCCACATGAAACTAGTGGTAACCTGATATTTTGGAAACCGCTAACTGGAAGTAGCTGAAATTTTAGTTACTTTGAGAGAGAGAGAGAAATAAGGTTTAACGTCCACTCGACACAAACTAGGTCATTTTGGGACTAACATATGGTTTAAATTTATTTCAATAATTCGCTTGCGCGTAGGGGTCTTTAGCAGTAGGAGGACCCGGAGAAAACAAAAACCCACGAGGTTGGACAGGCGACCCTACTCCTTGTCACGTACAACCACGGATTCGGAAAACCATGCCAGATGACTCAATGACCATCTTCAATAGAAGGCTTGATCTCGCTTTAACTACGTACATTGTGAAACTCGCAGTCGTTGCTTCAGGAACATGCTCAATGACAGGCCTTATGATACAGGCTGCAGATGCTAACCAATCGGCCATCCAATCCATGGCTACTTTGAGATATTATTAAAGATACATTATGGGAGATTCGAAAACGAGTTGGCTGTTTTCACTATAATAGTTAAAAACTAGATAATGTAAAGGCAATTTGCTGAAAATTTCATTCAAATTGATCCACTATGAACCGAGAAATAAGCGATTGAAATTTCCGCCTAGCCTCGATCAACATTACTAAAAGTACGATAAACTTAAAACAGCATAGTCTCGATTATCCATTTAATCGTGCAGTAAATCGGCTCATAATCCACTAAAAGTAAAGTTGATTATGGTCTGGATAGGTTAATTAATGTCTAATTAATAATTTAGATAACATTTCAGGCCTAAAGAAAGACCTGCAATAGACAGATTTAGCTTGTGCATAGGCCTGATCGTATGTTTAATGTTATAATCTGTGAGTTCCATTGAAATCGGTTGATTACTGCGAACTGTAGCATTTCATCTGGCCGAAAGTTTGGCTACTGAGAGATATTTTTAATATCAATGCTATAATAATCTCAAAGTTTCATTGAAATCGGTTAATAATTGCGATCTGTGGTCGTAAGGCTATTTTGAAATTCTTGCTTACCACGTAGGCCTGTGGCAAATAGCCACTGCCATATAAATAATCTTATCTTCTTATACTTATTATAATGTTAAAATACATGAAAGCTCATGTTAATTGTTATATCTGATCTGTTTACGATTTTAGATTGATCAGGATGTAAACAACGCGATACTATAAGTATAGTATAAGCAAAGTAGGTCCACTATCAGTAGTACAGTACATCTGCGAATATTTTTTTTTGATCAGACACGTCAACAATAATACTTAACAGGTGACAGCGCAAGTCACTACAAGTACAAGTAGGCTACAAGCAAACAAGATGGTGGCCTTTTCTTCTGTGGATAGCGATTCGCCAGCTGCTATTCTTGGCACTCTTGCAGCAGGTGCTTTGTTACAATATGGATTCGCCGCATATTGCAGTTGGAAAGAACGTTCAACGTATCGTTTTGTTGGGCGAGTGGCAGAATTGTATGTGTATCCTGTGAAATCTTTTGGAGGTTTATCTGTTCAGAGTGCAAAGTGTACTAAAGTTGGTCTCGAGTATGGGAATGTTACCGATAGGTAATTAATTTAAACTATTAAAGGGAGGCAAATCTATTTAACTGTTCTTTGTTGGCCTACTTCTAGTGTGGAATGGCAGGTGTAGAGGCGCAAATTTCATAATAGTAAACCTATCCCCGTCAAATAATACGAGTTTCGTACCACACGGGACTTTCATCGCTTTTCAAGGAATATCAATACAGATTACAGATTTTATTGTATCTAAACACCCCATAAGAGGCAGCATACAAATATCCACATAACATTTTACAAAGAAAATAAAAAGCATCAACATCATTTATGACAGGAATGAGGAAGGGACATTAAACGTGCTTTCCAGACTGCAAATAAAGCCCATGTTTAACGAATCCTTGAATATTGTCCAATGAAAATTTTATTTTTGCAACAAAAAAAAAGTATCGCTGAATTCGATACTCGGTTCTGGAATCATGATGCCTAAAGTAAATAGGTGCTTGAAATATTTTTGTTGACGTGAAATTATTCTATTAGTTACTTAGTTTTTTTGTATAGGCCTAATGGCAAATTATATAGCAACTACACACTATATAGACCTACGGTACTACATATTGGTCATTGGAGTTATCGATCTAAAATGAATTCCAGCCAATAATAGGCTACTATAAAGTATGCTATGCAAATTAGATTGTAGGCCTCTGTGCTTGCATGCTGTTGGCTAATAGTTACTGGAAATTTTCTCGAGTTTAGACGGCTCTAACCAATGATAAAAAAATTGGCGACATTATCGAACAGCCTGCATTTTTATGATATTTTCCCTTGATTAAAGATGAATGACAGAAACAATAAAACGATGATTATATCGAATCAGTGAATAATTATTAAAACCTCAAATTAAAACTTATAAAAAAAGAAAGAAAATATATCCAGTAAGTCAGAACAGTTTTTCAAACGTTCGATTGATTGATCACCCTACGTACAGTATCGAGCTTCTCACACGATTTTCTATAATAAATGTGTGTGTTTAATTAATGGGTTTGTTTTAAAAAAAAATAAATAAATAAAAATAAAAAATGAATTTACGTAGGTCTCGAAATGTCGCGTCAGCAACTAACCTATATAACTTATAATTTTCCACGCCAGACATTATCCATGTAGGTACACAAACACAATGCAGCTAGTTCGCTTATATAAATAAATATAATGTAATTTCTTTTAAATACTTAACGCCGTAGAAACAGAATTTCATATTTTACATAAACATACACCGTTTTGTCGCTAGGCCTATAAACGCGTTATATGCCACGGTTGAATTTGGATTTAAAGATACATTCCCGCGTACAAACTGGGTGATTTGATGATATATTTGGCCTAAAAACATATTCAAACTAATTAATTTATCATAAATTTGCTTCAAATCCTTCTCAAAACACTGTAATTGTCAAGGAATACCCTTGCTATAAAAAAATCGATCAAACGAGGTCATGTTTGTGTCACGTGACTTACGGGTGCAAAGTCGGAGGAGAATTCATTGCATACACGAGACGATGTTGTCTTTAATCGCTGACTATTTATTACAAATATCGAATCCTAATTAAATTCTCGGATTATCCACTGCCTGCGTCTTTTTCCGTGATTTTTATCTCAGAAAGTGTTGTACGTCTTATTCTTCATAAAGTTTATCAACATACTATCAAGCGCTCAATCTCCGTGTGCAACCTTTGACGTCACGCGTGCAGATATTCCTAATCGTCGAGCTGTCGATTATGAGAACCCTGACATTTTTGTCCTGTATACGCTCCATGAGTGTTTTTCAGGGAATCCAGTATTTTTCTAGTAAGATTGGATATCTCTACTTTCCATATATACCAAAATTGCCATACTTTTATTGGAAATAACCACCTTTAAATAAAAATTATTTTATATAGCCTATAAATAAACACCGTTTTGTCACTATAAACACGTTATGTCACTGTCGAAATCGGATTTTAATAGAAATTAAATGTAAAATTTAAAATACATACATGTAGACAAATCTTTATTCAACATAAATATCACATATGACAAAAGCGCTACAATCGTAATTCCAATTGCAATCACATTGTAATAGACTAGAGGCTAAGCGCGGGGGTGTCCATCAAATGGGCACAAAACCAGATCCAAATTTTTTAGAGTAAAATTTTGCGTAGAATACGACGCCGAGTGGCAATCAGTCCTCATTTGCACAGAAGGTGAATGCGCAGTCATTCTTGTATTATGAAAAGAAGCTGAAAATGATCGAAAGTAATCACACTTTTAATAAAAATGTAAACTTGTAAATCCACCTTTAGTCTTAGTGACTCTGGAGGTCAAAAAGGTGAAATTTACCATTTAAAGCAATAAAATGTCAATGTAAAATATAAAAAGTAAAGCGAAACCTGTTCTAATTAATAATAGGAACATTTAAAATTGATCTTTAGGGGTCTTAGCACCGAACTTTTACTTTGGAACGTCGAAAATGATCTTGCATAACAGAACCAACACAATTTGAAACCTGTTTCAAAAATACGTAAAAACTGTCAAATCGAAATCTCTCCGATTTTTTTTCACAACGATTGATATACATAACGATACTAGTTATCTGAAAAACAATTGAATAGTTTCAGTGTTGGACTCCAGCCTGCAGGCCGCATGGATTTCCGAGAATCCCAGTCTAGGAAAACCGAAGTTAATCTGTGACGGGAAAACACTTATCTGACGACGAGATTAAAAGTTTGCCAATTTTTTATGAGTTTTTATGAAGTTCGCCGGAACATGGACGCAGATAAAACCGACGAATGCATTGTACATAGTAGTTCACAGGATATATATTATGTCGTATTGGTAAATGTTAGCGGGGAAAATTTTGGCAGGCTTTGTGACGCGGCCTGCAGGCTGAAGTCCAGCCATGAAACTGTTCAATTGTTTTTTTCAGACAACTAGTATCATTATGTATAGCATTCGTTGTAAAAGTGAAATGAAATGAAATGGGGTTTAACGTCCTACTGTTCTGCTCCTATACTGGGCTAATGAAGACGGGCATACGCCATACAGTGTGCTATGAGGGAAATTTTGCCCGGGCAGCGGCACGTTGTAAAAGTAATTCGGAGAGATTTTGATTTAATAGTTTTTACGTATTTTTGAAACAGGTTCCGAAGCGGTTTGGTTCTGTTATGCAAGATCATTTTAAAACAAAAAGTAAAGGGTTGGGCCCAGGCCAATGACGAACCGCCTGCTTACTGCAGATCTCATAACTGTACACTTGTCATGTCATGAAATATTTTAATAACTAAAGGAGCTAAATCGCTAATATTTTGACCCAGAAATTGACACAAATGGGTCGCAACGCTGGGGACATCTCACTTTCCCCAGATATATTGTTTAGAGTCTGGGTCCACCAGGCCATGACTAATTAATCAACATGATATGAATGTATATAAACTGATTGACATTCAATCGTTTCTGTTTTTACTGTAATTTCTAATCATTGTTCGGCGAAATAAGTCTCAGTCGAATGGCAATCTCTAGCGTCTCGATATTCCAGTCTGTAGCACCGATACTATTTATTACGCATGCTCTCCAGATAAGAATATGGTGTCATGACTTGTGGAATATGTCTAGCTTCGTTCTTCGAGTCCCTTGTTACAAATGGCGCTGAAATGCATTATGGTACACGATTCGTGTACCAATGGTAAAATGTTTATTTTGTCACGGTAAGATCACAACATCAATGTTGATTTTAATTGACAAATAAATCGTGTTTTCAATGTCGAAGACTGGATGATATTGAGTTATGGAAAATTGGCCACTTTAATATACCGGTACAGTCACACGAAATGGAAATCTAAGTCGGTCTAATGCAAATGAAATGCGACCTTTTCCATGTAACATGCTAAAACGTGTAGCCTACATGGAAAACGGACATGTTAATCTGGCTTACTCGCCGCTACCCTGGCTGAAGTTTACGATTTTAAGTGGGTTGCGTTAAAGGCTGATCAAAACTTTGTTGATGATATCGATCGACATGAGGCACTTTATTCACAGCCCAGCCCATTTGTTATAAAACGGATCGAATTTCTTTTTCAAAACACACGGCTTTGGTTTTTTGCCACGACCCTGGCACATGTTGGTGTAAGGCCCGCTTTCCATGTCGGCCTACGTTTGTATTTTCATTGTACACAAAAAAACGCTGAAGTGAAAAGTGTGGGGAATCGCATGTAAATGGCGTTATTTATAAGTGAGTAAGGATTTATCTTTGTATCACAGCACAGAGCCCAACACTGTTTACGTTCAGTCGCCGCCTTTTTAAAATAACAGTCACCATGTCCAAAAATCTGCCATTTGCAAGCTGAACTTCTGGAAATAAGAGCGCGCGCGGTTCATTGTAGAAGAGAACCCGTGTTTGTACGCCAGAATGTAAACATCCGCATGCGCACGCTTCACGCGAGAAAAAACGCCAGCGTAAAAAAAAGTAGCTCATCGAGAACGACTTTTTTTCCGCGCGCGGAACGCGTAGGAGCGGGCCTAAATCGGATCGAAACATGAGCCATGATGAGGTATACAAGGGCTCGCTGTTCAGACCTGGCCCCCGAGTTCACAAATTAAAGCATTCTCAGACTTAGGTTAAGGATTTACTCAAAATTATTCGCCTTATTTTCACTAAAATGTAGCCCTTATAAAACTTTTGTTAATTAGTGTATCAAATAGCCTACATCTATAAAAAAAACAATGTGTGCAAAGTTTTGTGTTTCTGAATGGTTCACAGCTGACATGACGTCATGATCGTTACTTACTTGGAAAATGACAATCGGCTAGTTCCTTTTTCATTTTTGGAAACAGGTCTCATCCATGGTTATAATTCTGGCCAAAAAAAATATCAGTTGCTTCCAAACGGCGCTGATTTATCATTCTTAACACGTTGGCGATAATGTGCTTAAACCTGTCATGAGAATGCCCAAAACACTGCCAATATTATGTCGAGTAGTCAATCGTCGATCAGCCATTACCGTGGCATGCACCCGGGTAATCTTTTCTTGAATGATTGCTGTTGATGGCCTTCGAGGGCGCGGGTTATTGTCAAGGCTCTCTCTGCCACCCTTAAATTCCGTAGCCCACTTCTTTACTATGGAAAAGGAAGGGGCATCATCCCTTAAAGTGGAGACCATGTCGGCTAGATAACAAACCTTAATCTCTCAACCCTCCGTGTTTCGAGTTAAGAACTGAGGCCATGACCTATAACGTTGCAGCTGCCGGAGCGATTCACATTTTTAAACAAAATTGACAATAGTTTTAATCAAAACAACGATTGATTATTGTTATTTATAATATTTCTACAACACGCAACTACAATTAAGCAGATAATCCTACCTGAAACGGGTACAAATCGTTGTTTTTAAAATCGAGGCGTTAAGCCGTTACTAAGACCGCCATCTTTTTAAACGATACGCTGTCATCATGAAGGCGGGGCTAAATATAAGGCTTTTATAACAGCCAATCAAAAGGACAATCGAAAGCACATTAACTATGAATGGATTTCGATGGCGGTGAAATGTCAGACAAAAACAACGTTTCATTAATTTAAACGTGAATATTTGGAGTTAGGCAACAGTTGTGCCACTACATTGGCCTCTGTAAGTTTAATTAATCATGATATCATAAACTTATCTATTTTAAAGATGTTACATGCATTAATAAAGAAATTGAGTTTGCCACTTGGAACTAAAGGCATCCAATCGTAGCTAAAAACAAACACATCAGTATATCTCAACGTTTTTAGCTACGTTCTCGTAGCTACATGTCGGCATGCACGTATCTGTGTTAGGGTTGGTCCTTTCAGTTGCAGGTACTTCATGACTACCATATAGTCAGTTTTGTCCAGTTCTGGTGATTTCAATGGGTAGATTCACAAGATGGTCTGGCACGAAGACAATAGTAACACTAAAGTTGCGGTTCATATGTCTATCATCCATTCAATGATTGTACTTGTTGGCGGCAAAAGTTTGTTTTAATCTAGTTGATCTATCCTTTTCAGGTTTAGAACGTTTCAGCCAGCCCTCGTACGTTGAAAAATGGTGACAATATGTGCGGAGTCTTTTCAAAATCCCATCACTGTCAGTAATCGTACAAAGGGTTATACATTTAATAAATTATTTATCCATGAGAGTATATAGATAAATCATTTATCCATAAGAGTACCAGAAAAATAATGTTTTCTCTCTACAGACATTGGACAGTGTCTACTAGCAATGGTGTCTACCTAACACAACGACAGGAACCAAAAATGGCACTGATAAAAACCAGTCTACATGGTGATATGATGCATTTAGATGCACCAGGAATGAGAACCTGTCGAATACCAATAAAACCAAAACTGAATAAATCACAATTGAGTAAAGTTACGTAAGTTGAAATGGATTTTATGATCAAATTTAGATATATATTAGAAATCAAAATGAAATGTCATTAAATTATCTCATTTCTAGTAGCTTTTGATTGCTTTAGAATACAACTAGGAACGTACAGAATTTTAAATATATCTGGAGGGTCAAAATTAATTAAATATTATCTTAAAAGCCTATTGATGTAAAAACCTTTCTTTCATTTTGATTTTTAGCGTCAAAACAGATACAGTTCAATCATTAGACTGTGGTGATGACGTAGCAAGTTGGCTGTGTCGTTATTTCCAGAGAGAAGGTCTCCGTCTTCACTTTTCAGAAGCTACTCTAGAAAAAAGAGATTCGTCTAAAGCTCAGAAAAACTGGTCGCATCCGGCTCTTGAAGGCGATCTTGTAAGTTGTGAAATATTTGTTGTTTAAAGAGAAATTAGCTCTTAGTACGTTTCTTTGATAGGCCTATATATTATAATGTTCAAAATGAATTTATTTTCTTGGTGAAAGTGGTTATTTTCTTGCAATGTTTTTAAAATACGGCCGTCATTAGTTAAAACAGTGTATTTATAATGAATAGAGGTGGTACAGTCTTGTATGTTTTATGTTTGTCAGACACTTTAGACCATAAGGTATGTCATAGATTCTAGTGGTGTGGTTTCGATCCCCAACACGCAATCTCATTATTGAAATAAAACTACCATATGGTAGTCCCGAAATGTTAGTTTTTTATACGCCCACATTGAAATGTGGTCGTATATTGTCGTCGCCCCCGTCCGTCCGTCCGTCGGTCCGGCGTCCACAATTGCTTGTGGACGCTCTAGAGGCTAAAGTTAATATCCGATTGACTTTAAATTTATATACAGTGTTTAAGGCCATGAGACGAAGAAGCCTATTGATTTTCAGCGATTTCCGATAATTACTGCCAGAGTTATGGCCCTTGATCACTTCAAAAGATCTTGTGGACGCTCTACAGGCCAAAGTTAATATCCGATTGACTTTAAATTTATACACAGTGTTTAAGGTCATGAGACGAAGAAGCCTATTGATTTTCAGCGATTTCCGATAATTTCTGCTAGAGTTATGGCCCTTGATCACTTCAAAAAATCTTGTGGACGCTCTAGAGGCCAAAGTTAATATCCGATTGACTTTAAATTTATACACAGTGTTTAAGGTCATGCGACGATGACGCCTATTGATTTTCAGCGATTTCCGATAATTACTGCCAGAGTTATGGCCCTTGATCACTTAAAAAAATCTTGTGGACGCTCTACAGGTCAAAGTTAATATCCGATTGACTTTAAATTTATACACAGTGTTTAAGGTCACGAGACGATGAAGCCTATTGATTTTCAACGATTTCAGATAATTACTGCCCGAGTTATGGCCCTTGATCACTTTGAAAAATCTTGTGGATGCTCTAGAGGCTAAAGTTAATATCACAGTGTTTAGGGTCATAAGATGAAGTCTATTCATTTTCAGTGATTTTCGATATTTACTGCCAGAGTTATGGCCCTTGATCACTTTGAAAAATCTTGTGGACACTCTAGAGGCCAAAGTCAATATACGGTTGACTTTAAATTTATACACAGTGTTTAAGGTCATGAGACGAAGACGTCTATTCATTTTCAGCGATTTTCGATAATTACTGCCAGAGTTATGGCCCTTGATCACTTCAAAAAATCTTGTGGACGCTCTAAAGGCCAAAGTTAATATCCGAGACGAAGAATCCTATTGATTTTCAGCGATTTCAAATAATTACTGCCAGAGTTATGGCCCTTGATCACTTTGAAAAATCTTGTGGATTTCTAGAGGCTAAAGTCAATATCCGATTGACTTTAAATTTATACACAGTGTTTAAGGTCATGAGACGAAGAAGTCTATTCATTTTCAGTGATTTTCGATAATTACTGCCAGAGTAATTATACACAGTGCTTAAGGTCGTGAGACGAAGCATCCTATTGATTTTCAGCGATTTACGATAAGTACTGCCAGAGTTATGGCCCTTGATCACTTTGAAAAATCTTTTGGACACTCTAAAGGCTAAAGTTAATATCACAGTGTTTAGGGTCATAAGATGAAGTCTATTCATTTTCAGTGATTTTCGATATTTACTGCCAGAGTTATGGCCCTTGATCACTTTGAAAAATCTTGTGGACACTCTAGAGGCCAAAGTCAATATACGGTTGACTTTAAATTTATACGCAGTGTTTAAGGTCATGAGACAAAGAGGTCTATTCATTTTCAGTGATTTTCGATAATTACTGTCACAGTTATGGCCCTTGATCACTTTGAAAAATCTTGTGACGCTCTAGAGGCTAAAGTTATCATCCGATTGACTTCAGATTGATACACAGAGTTTAAGAGCTTGAGACGGAACAAGTATATTGATTTTCAATGAATTTTTATGACTTGAACAGCTAAATACATGATATTAAAAACCAAACAAATTCTAATGGTTTTCTGATAATTACTTCATGAGTATATTATAAATGTTTCATTAACGAAAGAAGTAAAAATATGCGACAACACTTGTTGACTGCCCGGACGATTTAGCTGCCGTGGGCGTATGTTTCCTTGCCTGGCAACCTATCTTGTTCGCTAGCCTGGAGGTCGGGTGTTCGATCCCTGCATTGGCCGAAAAAGTTCATCCAGATTTTCCAGATGGAGGGCCTGGCAAGGACAGCTGTCTAGTCGTTCGGATGGGACAAAAAACCGAGGTTCCGTGTACACATTGGCGTGCACGTAAAAGATCCCTTGGCAGTTGGAATTCGATATAAGAGTAGGCCGTAGCGCCGCTGCCCGGGCAAAATTCCCCTCATAGCACACTGTGTGGCGTATGCCCGTCTTCATTAGCCCAGGTTAGGAGCAGAACAGTAGGACTTTAAACCCCATTTCATTTCATTTCATTTCTAGTTTGTGTTGTTAAGGTGACATTAAACCCCATCTCTCCAGCTCTCTTATGTTTTATTGGTTGATCCATTCCGAAGTTACCCTCTTTGCTGAAAACCTTATGAAGGCTATAGAGGCTACAGTTTTTAACGGATTTCCTTTTACAAATTTGGTGTGAAGTATTCGGATCATCCATTGTTGTGTGAGCTTGGTATTTGATTCGGTGATTCGGGGTCGAATTGTTAGCTTATTAGATTTCATTTTCACTTGTAAAAATTGAATCTAACTTATTCATAATACAAAGACGTGGTCATTTCGTATGCCCATTGGTTGATTCATTTTGTTTTTCAGACAGCTTTCTCGGATTACTGCTCATATATGGTTTTATCCAACTCTTCTTTAAATCAACTCAATGAGAGGTTAGCCAAACCTGTTCCAATTCTCAATTTCCGAGCCAATATTATTGCTGACGGCTGTGAAGCATTTGCTGAGGTAGGTCTTCCATATGCTGGAGATTTATTTGAAAAAAATTAACGGTAGAAGTCATATCAAGTTTTCTAAAGTCAGGTCTTTATAGAATAACCAGCATAACACTGATTTTAACTATGTTATTCTTCCACATGTAGAGGCGATGTATGAAAATGCTTATGCACGATTGCGCTGACAATTATGTATAATTGGTTACATGTGTTCCATTTGTAATGTTACAGGACAGCTGGAGTAAAATCCAGATTGGTGAAGCAAAATTACGAGCATTAGACGCATGTACTCGATGTGTTCTTGTTACTGTTGATCAGTTTAAAGGTGAAAAGGATAAACAAGAAGAACCGCTAGCAACATTGAAAAAGTAAGTAGGGTTTTATATATATAGTTCTTAAAACTTTTGAATGTTGAAATTAGTAAAAATACTACAATGAAAATATTTATAAAACTAAGAACGCCCTTGGGTCATTCCACGTCAATTCGACCAGCGGGAGAACCCACCGTCATCGATTTCGCTCATATTTTTTTCATAGAAGTGCTGCCTTATGAAACCTCTCGATCCAAAATATTTTACAAAAATTCCGACTATTAAAGATTTTGTAGACATTTTTCCAAAGTGGGGTGTTTCTAAATCGGTGCACCCCGAAAAATGAAACAATGTCAATAATTTCCAAATTACTTGAAGTATCAAGCTGAAATTTATAGTCATATGTAAACCTATAGCCTACGCTGATCCCAACTCTGGTCTGGAAAGAGAGGTCGGATTTTTTTTTTGTCGAATGCGCATGCGCGGAAATATCATATTTTGAAGTTGTTTTATTTTAAACTAAACAAAAATCGATGTGGGACTGCATGGATTCGGCTGAAAATTTTATTGCTGTTTAAAGAGTAGGTGTACTATAACATATCGAAAATTCAAGAGGGTGTTTTTTATACACCCACATTGAAATGTGGTCGTAAATTGTCGTCGCCTCCGTCGGTCCGGCATCCACAATTGCTTGTGGACGCTCGAGGTTAAAGTTAATATCCGATTGACTTTAAATTTATACACGGTGTTTAAGGTCATGAGACGAAGACGTCTATTGATTTTCAATGATATCCGATAATTACTGCCAGAGTTATGGCCTTTGATCACTTTGAAAAATCTTGTGGACGCTTTACCGGCTAAAGTTAATGTCCGATTGACTTTAAATTTATACAGAGTACTTAGGGTCATCAGATGAAGAATCCTATTGATTTTCAACGATTTTCGATTATTACTGATCGTTTTGAAAAATCGATTGGATGCTTTATGACCATAGTTATCATCTGATTGATTTTATATTTATACACCGTGTTAACGCACATATATAATCGTTTCGATTGACTTTGGCTTGATATACAGAGTTTAAGGTCTTGAAACGAACAAGTATATTGATTTTCAATGGGTGTTTTTTATAATTTGAACAGCTAAATCCATGATATTAAATGTTTTGTATACTAAAAGTTAGCCTGGGCCAAACAAATTCTAATGATTTTCTGATTTGTTATTTTAAAATCAGATTTTAGTGTATTATAAATGTTTCATTACCGACAAAAGTAAAAATATGCGACAACTCTTGTTGACTGCCCGGACGATTTAGCTGCTGTGAGTGTATGTTTCGATGCCTGGCAACCTATCTTTCTTGTTTTCGAATTACATATATTTTAACTTGTTAAACTCAAATCAATTTGATTAAAATACAGATCTATATTTCGTTTCGGTTTTTTTATACTTTCGATGTCCTAGACTACATGAGGATCTGACCGGTTGTAGTGGAAGGTCGCGTCAGAGGTCATACGTCAGACATTTGATTAACCAATCAGCATTGATGTTTCTAGTAGGTTACCCACTGTTCCGTGCGTCTCACGCCAAAACCTCATCGTAACAGACCGTTTCATTGGCTAATACCACACACCATCCAGAACGCAGGTTATATAACGCAACTCTTCCAGATCCTAGTGTAGTAAATACATGTAAAACAAAATTTTGAACTATAAAAACGAAACGAAATAGGATCTGTGTTTTAATCAGATTGACCTCGAATTGGATATTCAACTTACAATCCGAACGTAGATAAATGCTCTACTTATGATTACCAGTTTGAAAATAATACCAACTTGGAGTTCGAATGATATTTAATTATTAAATTTTTACCCCTCCCCCCATCAGACTTCAGTCTCAGTAAGGCAGTGTCAAAGCAGGTATACATTTTCTGGACACCAAAACACTTTTCTATTGTGCGACTGCGCACATCATTGGAATTAAGTTTTTCGTCATTAGCAAGGAGGACATACCTGGAACTCGTGACCATAACAAATTCGTTCGTAAGTGTGCCGCGGAATTTTGAACGGCACACTAAGAACACGCGAAAAACAAGTGATCCCAATTGAGTATTCACTGGTGTCCACTGAAAATCTGTGTTTTTCTTTATGTAGTTTGGGTCATTCTATGTGTCTATGACTAGTCTCTGTCTGCGGTTGTATGACGGCTGACTTACCATGTTTTAATTTTGCAAAATTCAAATATTTTTCATATGTATTTAGCCAGGTGTGCCGCTATGTTTTCATGTGTTCCAAGGTGTGCCGTTGGCAAAAAACAGGTTGAGAACCACTGAATGTAATACAACCCTATCGTTTTTATTGTTCTATAGTTAGAACTTAGAGAACACTGAAGTTGATTTTAGAATGACCCAAGTTCGAAATCTAAGCTCCAAGTCTCTTGCACAGCCTACTCCAATCCAGGATAAAGCTTTGGGTGCAGCAAGGATATGTGACTCAGGTGTGACAAAATTCGAATGTCGTTAATAACAGTATGTCCAACGAGAAAATTTCCTTGCAGACCTAACGATATAAAATGATTATTATATGGTATTCTAAAAATGAAACATTAAACTCCAACCGATATCCGTTTTATCCTTTAAAATGAATTATAATTTATTGTGTGCATATATTTTATTGTTTTTGTAGATTTCGATTAAAGGATCCATATGGACCAAAACCAGCCTTTGGAATCAACTTTACTTTGGATGCACCCGGCCAGATCAACGTTGGAGACCCGATATTTGCACTTATGCGTTAATATAATACTGCTATAAAAATATTCTTTCTTTCTTTCTATTTTGTTTATTATTAGTATTTTTTATTTTGATTATGATTTTTATTGTCATAGAAAGTACTCACAATTTTTCATATTAAATTATTATAGACAATGTTTTTCTATCTAATTATAATTATATCAACATTCCGTTACATTTTATTTACTCCATTATATTTTTGGCAGTTTAATCTATCTCATCGGGGTCTTTACAGGACGTGTTCAGTAATACGAAGATTTGATTGGTGGACTCGAGATTAGCCTTCTAATCAAAACACTTGAAACAAAATATTTCACAAAAAAAATTAAAGGAGATTGATTTGTCGATAATGGGCTTGACTGTATTATTCAGGTGAACTGTTCTAATTTGTTGACCTCACAGGCCTAGAACGCCCTTTCCTTAAACACATCTTTAGATATTAATGGAGTCACCATCCAAATAAAATAAACGGAAAAAAAACATCTAGTTTTAATTAGATTGTATGTTTTTGTGAAACATTTCACAAACAAACAGGAGGCTAATGTTTGTTAATCAAAATAGTTATCTCACACAATCAAAAATGTTAATAAAAAACTTGTTAAAGCCATATCAGTTTGCTTAGTAGTCTTTTATCATCAGGATTTTTACATCTGCCATTTTGGCCAGATAGAAAATCATTAGAGAAAAATAGGTCTTGTCCATGGCTGAAGTCTTTTATACGAGCTCTGGGGTTACCAGACATTAGTTTTACCCAGCTTGTGTTCCTATTAAATACGTGTCAATAAATTCTCAGGTAGCGATACAACTTGATTCATTCTAGATAGAGAACGGGTTTGAATATTGTTGAAAGAGGTTAGTACGAGATAATGAATAGATATATATACTCGGCAACGACTTAATTTTCTATCAAGTTTGAGTTTGGTTGGGCACAATAATTTATGAATCTCATCAATTATGAGATTTTTAATATTTTGATTACCCGGCAATTATATTATCTTAGCCTTCTCGATCGTTTGTTATTATAGATCTAAATGGACCATAAAAGGACTGTATATATTATAATCTAATTGACCATATTATAGGTATGATTATTTAAGATTTCGATAAAATTTCGCCTTATATAATAATATATTATGTGTAGATTTTTTGATAAAGCTTTTTTTTTTATGAATTGTTAAATCGTTAATAAATTGATTTACACATTTATAAGAAGTTGTTTTTTTATACGCCCACATTTCAGTGTAGGCGTATTATGCCGTCAGCCTATCCGCCCGTCCGTCAACAGTTGGCTTGTAAACGCGGTAGAGGCTACAGTGAGAGAGAGTGGGGTTTAACGTCCACTCAACGCAAACTAGGTCATTTCGGGACTAACATGGGTCACTTTTATTTCAATAATTCGCCTGCGCGTAGGGGTCTTTAGCAGTGGGAGGAAACCGGAGAACCCAGAAAAAACCCCACGATGCTGGACAGCCGACCCTACTCCTTGTAAAATACAATCGTGGAATCGAAACCATGCCAGTTGACTCAATGACAGACCTTATGATACAACGCACACGCGCTAACCATTCGGCCATCCAAGCCCCGAGTTTTTGACGATTTTTTAAATTTGGCGTGAAGCATTGTGGTCATGGGAGTACGAACCCTATCGATAATCGACTTTCCGCACCTGAGTTTTGCCCTCTTTTAAGTTTTCAAATTTGGTGTGAAGCATTGGGGTCATAGCAGGATTAACCGATGTTTAGCGTTCTCTTGAAAATCGGACTGAAACTACTTGACAAAATGGCTGCTTGTTGTACGCAAATAGTGTAAAAGTATGTAATACCGTGGACCCTCTAGAACCTGTCATATCAACCTGTCATGACGTCATCACAGGTTGATATAATTATTCGGCTCATATGACGTTGATGATCGAAATAATACAAAGAACACAGAAATAAATTTTTATTCTTTTGACAATTAAAATTTTTTATTGACCGTTTGCTATAGCATTCAGCACCGAAATAGATGGCGTACTTATCGGCATATTTAGATCGGTTATCCATGGCTAAGATATCTTTCAGAATTTTCTTTTCGTCCACATTTCGATTATTTCTCCACACACTCCAAGACTTGAAAGTATTTATAGCCCAAGAGTTCCTTTGTAAAGTATTTTTGGGTACAGTCCATTTACCACAGTCGGTCAAATCCTTCTCAGAACATACCGAAAACATCCACGGCTCGCTGTCAGAATTGCTTTTTGATCCAAATTTTCTTTAGCCTTTGACTAGCAGTAGATCCTCGCCGGAATTTGCATTCACATCTATTCCATCGTGAATCCGTTGGCTAAAAAGAACTGATTATTCGTCTGATAACGTATTACTATCCATTTTGTTTTTGCTTTCAATTCACAATTGCACCTATATTAACCCCAAAATGCCGACAGTATAAACAGACGACGGACCCTGTTTATATTCAGCAATCAAGCACTATACGTCCCAGAGATATATGCTTCCGCCTTCCAGATAAGCTGCTGTTGAGAAATAGCTGCTGTGTGGGTACATTTTCACGGTGTGCCTGGCTTTATATTTTTTTATACCCCCGTCCGTCCGTCTGCCGTCCACAATTTCTTGTGAACGCTCTAACTGTTTTTAACAGATTGTTTTAAAATTGATATATGTGGTTTACATTAGTGAGATGAAGAAACCTATTTAATTTCAATAATTTCCGTTTATTACTTCTAGAGTTATGGCCGTTGTTTCACTTTGTGAATGCTCTAACCTCTAAAGTTATCTGCCGATCTGTATGAAATTTAAATGTGCCATTTAAGATAGTAAAAAGAACAATTCTATTGAATTTCAGCAATTTCCGTTTATTACGTCTAGAATTATGTCTCGTTTTACTTTATTGAACCTTATCATCCAATCATGGATCGCCCCCCCCCCCCCTGTGAAAAAAATTTCGATATACATTGTCAATCAATATTACAGCACCCCTGAGAACACTTCCCGCCCCCCTCGTTGCTCTGAGCTAGTTACGGCCCTGTTCTCTTAATAGTAAAAAGTACTATTTCAATCAAAGCAGAAATGTGGACGTATGACGCATATCTTTTTAGAGACTAGGGTTACCATCCTTTTCTGTTAAAGTTTTGTTCAGATTATCCAGATATGGGTATATTTTTATTTTGTCCGGCAACCTGTTTATAATTTGATTTTTAGTAGTCCTAAATCAATCAACAGCAGTTTTCAAGTGAAAGGTGAAATCATCAGTTTGTTAAAAGGATTTTATTTAATTAAACATATTGACAGACGTTTATTTGGTACTAGGGGTGGGTGTAGTGGTGGAATTCTGTTTTGCCGGTCCTGTAACAATACTGCCCAGAGACTGTTCCCATGCTAGATGCTGAAATTAAGATAATATCAAGACTTGCACAATCTATAGCATTTTTGGGGTACCCCCCCCCCCCCCCCTTTCAAAAAAAGAAAAAAATTATTGCCTACGTGTTCTTTTCCACCACACTATACGACATTGCGAGGTTGATTTTTTTTTTTTCAAATATTTGTAAAATTATGGCGAAACATACTTTACACCCATTTCTTTATGGTTCGACCTTTTCTTCCAGACAATACTGAAAATAACATCTGGCTCACAGGACCTCTGAACAAGTGTTTTCTGTGGCCAAAGGGTGCGTTTGACCTTAGTAGGGCCTACTGATTAAAAATTTAAAATGAAGGAATCGGTTTTGAGTAATGCATCTCCAAAATTGGCTACTTCACCCTAAATAAATGCACGTATTCAGATTATAAAATATCCGTAATAAACAATATATGAAATACTAGCTGGAGTATATATTTTATTTTCTTGATGTTCCAGTATTAAACAAAAACTTTATTTTTGGCATTGTCTTGGGTGTTTTAAATGATTATATAAACCGGGAAATAGTATTGGCTTTCTTCACGAACCACAATATTCCTAGCTGTACCGTTAGTAGCATTAGATTACCTAAATATGAAGTGGGAATAAACAGGATGCTCCTATGTCATGGATACTTGCATTCTGTAGCCTTTGTCATGTCATTAAGTTTTTTATTATGTATGTCTTTCCTTTTAGCTTAGTTTAATCCTGAAAATAATACCGATTTGCACTACTGTAAATACCAAGTTTTCAGCGTTTGGATTTGTCTGCAGAGAATCCTGCCAAAATCGATTGTAGGACCTGGGAAATAGGTAAGACAAAGGTTTGGGGTCGGCGACTTTGGTACCAAAATATATAGGGTCGGTCGGATTACCATAAAACAGGAAACAGGAGGGGTTTATAATAGGTTGGAAAATATTTACCTGTTGCAAGTAATTACTGAGGAAATGAGCCTCAGATGTCGATAAATCTGAAAATAAATTAAAATGTTACAATATTATAGTTTTAATTAGGTAAACGAAATGATTAACAGAAATTATGGTTTTGAGGAGTTAATCTCATAAAAGTAAAAAATCCCAGGACATAATTTATAAGTGGTGACAGAGTGATGCGTGTCGTGGGCGGCGGGGGGCGGGGGCGAATTATCCTTTCTAGAACAGTTAACATCACTCTTTGTTTGACGACTTCATAGTTAACCCATGTTTGTTAAATGTTATCCTATTGTATTTTAAAAAGAAAAATCACTCACGGTCAATCAGAGCCAGGACTTTGGCATAACCAATGACTTGAATATAAGCTGTGAGTTGACAAGAGGCAGCCTCGGCAAATAATTCTGATAGCATAACTTGTTGTTCACCATTAAGACTTTTATAAGATGGTGACTTGTGAATGGCCTTCAAGATAGCTAAAAAGTCTTCATTAGGAGCACATGGTCCGACAGCAAGGCAGCTCGCTACACAAGCAATAACACAGAGGACTCGAATGAACTGTAAAATACAAAGGTGTGTAATTGATAAACCCATGGAGAGAGAGAGAGAGAGAGAGAGAGAGAGTTTTCAAATTCAGTGTTGGTAGTGTTGGCATTGTAAAATTCGAGCATGAAGCAGAATCTAGAGCTTAACTTCATCCGTAGCCCTAACGACTCAAACTTTCATCTCGTATATTACTCTCATATTGTATTTATCTACATTGTTCACCTATTTCCTTTAGATTTAAGTTCAAAATACTCCTTCTTTTATAAATGCTTTAATAACCTCTGTCCCTAATATTTGTCAGAGCTCCTTGAAGTTCATTTCCAAACAAGAAATCTCAGATTTTTAACGGACCCATGTTCGTTTCTAGAATGTTTATTTGGTAATCTTTCATTTTTTGTTCAATCCCATCTTCTCCGGAACAAACTACCTCGAAATATAAGAACCTGTTTATCGTCGCGTGAAAAAAATTGAAAACGCACATATTCTTAAAGGCTTTAAAACATCATTTTAATTTATGCATCGTAATGACAGTTTATACATTAGTGAGGGAAATTTATCAGATTTTAAGTTGATTTCAATTTCAATGTTTACATGTAAGTCTTATTTGTATTTTCATTTATTTATGTTATTAGCATATTTATTTTCTGTACCATATTTTGCAAAGTGCACGTTAGCACTTAGTCGTAGAATTTGTGCGCCATAAAAATGTACAATAATAATAATAAATAATAATAATTTATGTTATTTTAAATACTGGTGATAATATTGTTCTTTAAATAAATATGTGTAAGAAGAATAAAATGCTTAGCTTACCATCGTAGAGTGATTGTGGCTAAACCTTACACGTGGAATCTAGATAAGATAATAAGAACGGTCGTTTTTAGATAATCTTTACCCTGACCTAGGGAACGGACAGGTTACTATTCTAGGAGTGGAGGTGATAATACACAATGACCCTATAAATACAAAAGAGACGGCTGATTGCTATGGAAAATTGCCAATTTTCAAATCAGAGAGAGAGAGAGAGAAACTAGATCATTTCGGGACTAACATATGGTTTTTAATATTATTTTAAGAATTCGCTTGCGCGTAGGGGACTTTAGCAGTGGGAAGAAACCGGAAGACCTAGGGAAAACCCACGAGGTTGGACAGACTGGTCAATTACAAGCGGAGACCTTATGATGGAACGCGCACGCGTTAACCATTCGGCCACCTAACCTCTCTGTATCATGAGATAACTAGCATTGCTATAGACGGGGTCAGACTAATTCTCTCCCCATTGCACATGATATTGTTTGACCTGCAGGGTCGTACATAAAGATTTTGCTTCGGGGGGTGTTTAGCAAAAATGCGACCGACTGATGCACATGCCCCTAATACGAGTGACGAAGTCAGGAGTCGAGCACCAGAGGTGCAAGTTTTCTAGGGGCCAGTGGCGGATCCAGAAGCTGGGAATAGCGGGTTGGGGCGGGGCGGTTCTAAATCTAGGGCACCATCCACAATCACTCCAGGATGGATGTCAACAAAATACTGGCTATAACACTGAGCGTCTCGGTAGAACATAGATCGTATTGCATATAGTTGTCATATTCCTGAAGCAATGGCCCGAGAAATCCCTCTCTGGCCATTGCTGGATTGGCTTCTGATATATGAGCTTTTGAGGGAGTGTGCCTGTTTTTCCCGGTCAATCAAATCTATCCCAAGTACAGCCACGTTCCAGCCCTTCGTTTTATCTGGGGTCTTCCCTAAAACTTTGATCAGTGATTTAAGGTATTAAAAACGGTGAAAGTATTGTTCGTCTCCAAACAGTATTGTTTACATTGTATTCGTTTTGATAGCCTCGTTTGTCACGCAATTAGTTTTTTTTTGCTATGCACTGGTTAATTGGGAATAATAAAATCGTGAGTCATGACGTAACGTTATGTAAACATATTTGGTCCAATTTAGAGCTATGTTTAAAGCGTAATGATATTGTTACGCAGTTAGCTATTGGTTGTTAATCGGTCTATTGACCAGATGATTTGAAACAGGAATTTGCTTTCATTACAGCAGTGTTAAGTGGGATTAGATCTAATCAAACGAAACACTGCGAGGAGTATGTCTTACCGCTGACTCCCAATCAATGACTTAATTAATTTGATTATGTCAGCAGATAACAACGCTTCATTTAGATAGACATGGAGCCAATCGCAATTCTTCCATGGCGCATATGTTTCTTGCGCTACATGAACAATTACTCAGATAACTAAAACATGTATGTAGTACGGCGAAAAAACTGCCACTGCCATGGCGCATATGTTCCTTGCGCTACATGAACAATTACTCAGATAACTAAAACATGTATGTAGTACGGCGAAAAAACTGAGACTGCTAACGCTGTCGGTCGCCAAAGTCGCAATTTGCGATAAAAATATGACGGTGGCGATTAAAATTTGATTTTGTCGATAACGTTTTGCGGTACTGGCGATTCTTTTTGAGAACTGGCGGAAAAAAATCTTAAAATTCTAATCGTATTTATCGTGGATTAACTATTACAATTACATTGAGTGTTAATCACGTGCCGGCAGATTCTATAAATTAATCAACTGGCTCTATTGCTATCGAGGGAATTCTTGAACGAAAAATGGTCATCGCATGTGAAAATATACACGGACGGGTCTCACGATCCAAACACTACCAAAACTGCATTAGGTGTGGTCATTCCCGAATTTAATGTTAATATATCGAAAAGGCTACCAGATGGATGCTCTATCTATACAGCATAACTAAAGGCAATATCCACAGCCCTTGAGTGGCTCGTGTCATCCACCGTTCAAAGAGCAGCCATTGTGTCAGATTCCCTTAGCAGCATAAAGTCAATAATACATGACAAAAAAACCACCTAGGCCAGAAATTGTTCAGAATATTAGAGCAAGTGTTAATTCCCTCCAAAACAAAAATAAACCCGTAGAATTTACATGGATACCATCCCATGTTGGCATAGCAGGCAATGAGTCCGCAGACAATCTGGCTCGCAAAGGACTCAGCCTCTGCAAGACCGAATACTTAAAATAAAATATAGCGTTCAGGAATTTAATAGCATCGTCAAAACTAAAATAAAATCACAATGGAAAATTGAGTTGGCCATAGCAAATACTTTTAGATTCAATTTAAACAACGATCTGGTTGTAAAGACGGAGATTAATCACCCATCGCGCAAAATTTGTGGGTTTAATCACAAGATTAAGAACTAAGGATTTAATTACCGACCATAAATTTTACCCAGTGAAGTGCGAATGTGGCCACAATTTGACCGTTAACCATGTTATCATCGCGTGCAATAAATTGGACAAGAAAAGACTCCCCGCACGAAATTTAATGGAAAATGCCAAACTTCAATATACCCTCCAAAATGTACTCTTCTCCCCTCGGAATATGTCATATAAAATTTATGAAGCCATCTCAAAATTCATAGCAGAATCGGGAATTAACTGTTAAATTAGTTGCGTTAAAATAGCACTAGTCAAAGAAAGATAACTGGTTGTGTAGACCAGGTTGGCCCCTAAGCCACCTGGATGCTTTAATAAGATAGGGAACTACATATCTAGTTACAGAAAAGGAACTATTGTTGTAGGACAGTAAGGCGGTTCAGTCTGCTGTATGATTTAATATACTAATATACAAGGGAAAAATAATGACAAAATAAAGGAATAGGGACCTACTCAACCATTATAAACAATGACAGTGCACATCAATCAATTTAATTTAACCTGTGTTTAAAAATTTATTTATTCCTATAAATGGTTCAATTTGTCTTATTGTTTATTTGTGTGTGTGTGTGTGTGTTGCTGCTGGCTCTTCTTTCTCTTTTCAGGTAACTTTTTATCTGTGGAGAGCCATACCCAAGGAAAACTCTAATGGAATGCTTACAACTGTTAAACTTTGAAGTTTTGAACTTTTAGTTAATTTTTAACAACATGGAACTTATTGGACGAACACTTTTAATATGTAAATAATCTACGGGTCCAGCTATGTGGTTTTTACTGCAAGCACGTCGCTTTTCCACATAAAGCCAGTGGATTCTTTTCCCCACGGGTTTTTTTCCATCCGCCCTGATGCCGCCAAACTTTATTATGACAACGGAAGAAGATGACCCGCCCTCTTTTCTCACGACAGCGAATTTCTAAGTGTGCTTTAAGAAACTTTTTGAAGCCCAGGACCTTTTTATTTTGTGCGTTTAACAATTTTCAAGTGTAAATAATTTAATTAAATCAACCTGTCCATAATATTATATTCATTGTATTGTACGTTAAATCTGCAATAAACAACAATAACAACAACGATAATCCGGATCGCGTCAATGAGTAATACTAATCAGTTGTCTTAGATTCATGATTAGCTGATTGATAATTGTCAATGATATATATAAAAGCCTATCTCAAGTCATTATTTCCTCCTAATGATTAATCCAAGCGGTGATATTTGATGTTTCGTTTCGTCTTTAACAAAAATGGCCGACAATTCTTTTCGACGAGAATGAAATATTTTGATAGTTGAATTCCGTTTACGTAAGAACGGGTTAAATAGCCAAAATGCTGTAAAAGTGAACGACGCGTATAATTCTAAGCATCTCATATACAAATATAATTGAAACTTAAATCATTCTATCAGGGATTCAGATTCTGATACCTTTATGGTACCTGAAAATAACAGTAGGGCTATTGTACATGCAAAACATAAATTTATAGAAAATTGGCAATCTCCTTGTATGTGATCTGGCGTGTAAATAGGCCTACTGAAAATATACTGTGCAGTACGGTGTGCAAATAAACTAAAGTCACCGAAAATAAAATTTGATCTTAGTAAATAAAAACTGCTGATGTATTATGTAAAGAAAGATTTTTAAAGTTGTTGTATATTGTATTGTAAATATCGGTAATTAATTCTACCTGAGACATAAAACTGTTACCTGTTGTCTTTTTTATCACACATTTTTGGCGGAAAAAAATATGAACCCTTTTTTTATATAAAAATTATCATCCATTTTGGCGGGGAAAAAATGAAAGCCAGCGTGAGCCCTTGCCACTGGCGGGAAGTTTATGAATAGGCCTAGTGTCTTATGTGAATTAACAGCCATAAATTTTTATATTTAGTAAAGTTAATATTTAATTTGATGCATCACACTTGACAAGCTTGAATGGTTTCACTTTAGCCAGTTAATGTCGTTTTCATCAAAGAATTGGTAAATTAAGGGATATGTCAACTCATTTATTTTATTATGTCGTTAAAGATGGCGACATGTCACTTCTGATATATTATTCAGATATGTGTCACGTGCTCATCCCTTGTCTTCCCGGTTCGTTATCAAAATGGCGGAATAATAGAACAACACACGGATTTATCTTGTATTTTTGTTAACATAAGGTAAGGTAAACAAAATTTTGTTGTAAGAACTTTAACTTATAATAACTATACAGATTCTTTTGAGAAACAAATATGTTCATATAGTTAATCTTTAATTTTTTAAAGTTATCCCTTCACTGACTGAATTCGGAACATGTCTTTAAAGATGTGTTCCTTGACTATAACTATTAGTTCACACAGTCGACCCACGGAACGTATTCTAATCTATAAAAGTAGGCTATTTTCTAACGACCAGAGTAAATTATTTGTTGGGCGCATTGATTTTATTGGTCACGTTGATTTTATCATTTGTTTCGGTATGGATTTTATCATTTCATTACCGTATTCATTACCCCAGTCAGAGCAGAACAGAAAGAGTTAAGCCTCATTTCATTGACCGCATAGATTTTATCATTTGTTTGGGTACATGGATTTTATTATTTGTTAGTGCATGGATTTTATTATTTCATTGGCCGCATTGATTTTATTATTTCATTGGCCGCATTGATTTTATCATTTGTTTGGGTGTATAGATTTTATCATTTGTTTGGGTGTGTGGATTTTATCATTTGTTGGGCGCATGGATTTAATCATTTGTTTAGGAGCATGGATTTTTAATAGTTGTTTGGATACACAGATTTGTATGTTCCGTACATTTTAAATGGGGTAATATTATCATCGTACGAGAACATACTTTTATTTCCTGCTTTGTTTCAAAAACATGCATAAGACGGTTGAAAGTCGGGTTATGGGTATCTGAACAATCTGTCACTGTCATTGTACGTTGAGCCATCTAGCCCTAGGCGAGAATGCCTATGTGTACATTCCCATTAATTACTCTATATATGTCAAAATCTAACTTTATTGTTTGATAGAAATCTGTGTTTTAATTGTTTACACTGGTTAAAATATTGAGATAAAAAAAACAGGAAAGACATTATACTGTCGCACCTGATTCATTCACCCCTATCTGTAGGGGGAGTGAACAGTTAATGATTTTAAACATTTAAATAACGACATATTCCTTCGCCTCTCTCTTTTATAAGGACTGCGTGTGTAATAATTGTGTGATGAAATTATCAGACAGCGATATTTTTTACCACCCCACTTCGAAGTGAACTTTCAGGGTCATGCATGCACGTCAGTAAGCAAAATACCCAGCGTTTGGTTTTCCACTCATATAACTACACAGTTAAAATAGTGTTGCCAGGTAATGAAACCCCACAGCTAAGTCACCCGACAGCCCACATTCTTTCGAATGGTAGAATACAAGACACTGAAATCTGATCAAGAGTGTGAGGGCTTACAGTGTCAATTTTATTTGGGATAAGGTTACTGTTTATAAGTTACACCTTATCGTGTAAATGCACTAGGAGGGTAAAGCCATCCTGACACTTGCACGATTTTCATTCCCACAATGGCGCGCACTTAGGCGTGTCAAGTCTTCGGGAACGAGCGTGAGCTGAGTGTGTGAAGGGTGCGGGCGTGCGTGCCATGTCGTAGAGAGAATTTTGAAATTTTCAAAAATTCGGCACGCATCAATGTGCATGCCACTTGCGTGAACAATGCGTGCCATGGGAATCCACTATAAACGGCAGACATGAACGATGCGCGAACAATACTTAAAGGAGCTAAGTCGCTAATATTTGGGACCTAGAAATTGACACAAATGGGTCGCAATGCATATAATAATGTAATATGAATGTATATAATCTGATTTACATTCAATCGTTTCTGTTTTTACTGTAATTTCTAATCAGTTATGACAATCTTTAGCTTCTGGTTATTCCGGTCTATACCGATGGGTATTTATTGCGCATGCTCTTCAGATAAGAATATAGCGTCACCATTTGACATGATTTGTGGAATATGTCTAGCCTCGTCCTTTGAGCCCCTTGTTCCAAATGGCGCTGAAACGCATTATGGTACACGATTCGTGTACCAATGGTAAAATGTTTATTTTGTCTTGAATATTGGATATCAGAAGCCCATCTTTTCCCTGTAAGATCACAAGACCAATGTTGATTTGAATTGACAAATAATTAGTGTTTTCAATGTTGAAGTTTTTGAGGATATTGAGTTAGAGACTTAGCTACTTTAACCTAATGTGTAAACAAGTAGTGCCATTGCGTCGCAATGCTCACCAATGTGACCCATGTGTGTACAATCCACGAAAAGCGCGCAAACACAACTAACCCCCAAATGGTACGCCTTGCCATGGCGCGGCATTGCGGTGACAAACATCGGGCAAGTGTCAGGGTGACATACTCATCCACACACTCACACACACATATATATGTTACAGTTAATTTGTGTAATCAGTGATTTCATGTAATGACTAAACGAATCAGTCATTACGTGAAATCTGTGAGCATCAGGCAATACGGGCAATGACTAAAAATTCCAGTCAATACACGAAATAACTAAAAATCATGGTCAGGGATTCCGCGAAATGACTGAAGTGCTGTTAAACACACAAAAATACACTGTAAACCATTTTTTGACGTCAAATCAAACGTTAAATCATACATTGCAGAAAAATATGCTTATAGTTGTTTTTCATCACGAAAGACTTACTGTCAAATCGCATTTTATTTCAAAAATTCTGACTGGTTCATCTCTAAGTCATATGTTTTTGCATAACATACTGCTATGACAGCGGTTGAGGCATTTTGATTTTGATCTTGGTTTTGCATATATTCGTCCAACATCTCTTGAAACCTGCACATTTGAACCGGACTTATCCCTGTCCACCGCAGCTGGATTCTGTATGTACAGTCTGACGAAGTACGTGTTAGCGTCTTAGTACAGTCTATATCAGTGTAAGTAAATTTTAGGAACACAAATCCCTGCTTGAACACAAATAGTGCACTCAATTAAAACAAGTACATGTATGACTATTCATGGATGAAACAAAGCCACTGGGTTGTGAAAACACCTGTTCATTAACACCTGACTTTTTATCCGATTTTTCAAGAGAGAGAGAGAGAGAGAGAGTTAGAGAGAGAAATGGGGTTTAACGTCCACTCGACACAAACTAGGTCATTTCGGGACTAACATATTATGGTTTAATTTTATTTCAATAATTCGCTTGCGCGTAGGGGTCTTAGCAGTGGGAGGAAACCGGAGGACCCGGAGAAAACCCACGAGATTGGACAGGCGACCCTACTCCTTGTCACGTACAACCGGGGATTCGAAACCACGCCAGCTGACTCAATGACAGGCCTTATGATACAGCGCGCTCGTGCTAACCATTCGCCCCCCCCCCCTGTACAATCAGGGGCAATAATCCAAAAAGTTATGTATGGCCTGAAATGTGCAAATATAAAAAGGAACCGAGATCTTTGGGATATAAAGATATGTTTTAAGTTTCATCAAAATTTGATAAAAATTGTGACTTCTAGAGGCTCTACAACCTTCGTATTACACACTTCTACACAATTTGCATACAAAGAGCGGCTATTTTGTCGGACAGTTTCATTTCGCTTTTCCCGAAGTTCAAATTCAGCCTTCTTTATTGTTGGATGGTGATGTATTTAAATGTTTTTTAAAATTGGAAAAAAATTGTGACCTCTAGAGAATCTGCAAGCTAAAAATGCGATTTTTCGAAAAATCGGGGGTCATAATCCAGAAAGTTAAGTTCGGGAATCCGCGATTTTCAAAAGGAATCAAGATCTTAGTGTGTAATGGTGATATATTCACACGTTTTTTTAAATCGGATAAAAATTGTGACCTCAACAGGGGCCACAAGCTAATTATAAAAACGTGATTTTTGGTTCAATCAAGGGCCATTCAGGAAGTTACGATCCGATATGCGCGAATATCGAAAGTAACCAATATCTTTGGGTTATCAATATGTAATACATGTTTCATCGAAATCGGATCAAAATTGTGACCTCTAGAGGGTCCACAACCTTGATTTACCAGTTGTTTACAATATTTGCGTACAAGGGCGGCCATTTTGCCCGGCAGTTTTGACCCGATTTTCACAAAATGTGAACTCAACAAACATTACGGTGTAACGGTGATATATTCGAACGGTTTAAATCAGATAATAATTGTGACCTCTAGAGGAACCACAAGCTAAAAACGAGGGGCGGCCATTTTGTCCGGCAGTTTTTGTCCAATTTTCATGAAATTCAAACTCAGACAAAATTACAGTTTAACGGTGATATATCCAAACGTTTTTTTTAATCGGATAATAATTGTGACCTCCATAACCTTTAAAATGAACAAATATGTCCATCAGACAATGACAACAGTGTCCTTTATGTGTTAGGCCTACACATATTGCCTGATATGCAAAATCTGCAATCGGTCATTAAGTGTAAAAAGAAGGTAGGAATTTTCGTCATTTCGTGTAATGTCTGGATTTTTCAGTCATTACACGTATTGCCTGGTGCTCACAGGCTCTTCGCGAAATGACTGATTTGTTTAGTCATTACGTGAAATGACCGATTACACAGGTTGAATGTAACATATATACATATTACGATCTATATACATGTAGTTAAATAAAGTTAAATATATTACAAGCCTATAAAATTAAATAAACTGAGCGCTATGGAAAACGCATCACTTAGTTTTTCGTATAACAAAATGATCCTGTAAACATATCTTATTTATTTTGCTTCTTATTGTGAACATCAATAACAACACATTTGTACACTTATGGATGTTTAATCTGTAATCAACGGTACAAAGCCAGAGGGGTCAAAACCAAAAGTACGACACAGATGTCAGTAGCGCGTGTGTCCTCCATGGGCTCTTACGCACGCTGTGCAGCGACGTCGCATGGAATTTACCAATGTTTGAAAGTAGGCCTGGGGCAAATTGTTCCATTCTTGGACAAGAGCAGCTTCTAAAGCAGCAATGGTGTGCATCTGTGGTCTCCGATACAGACGGCGCCCGATGTCATCCCAGACATGTTCTATCGGTGCCATGTTGTTAGCAGCCAGCTAGTCGATACTAAAACGGGCGGTATACGGACGTGCATTATCCTGTTGGAAGTGCTGAAGTTG